CACTATTTCCCCATCCCTTGATTTGTTCACTCTCCCTGCCTCCTGAAAACCTACTATTTACCTGATGCTTTGAACCATAGCCAGTTTAGGTTCAGCAAAGCCAAGCCTTGGCATATTCCCGTCCCCCCCCTATGTGTGCCCCTAACCAGACTCTCGCCAGGTTCGGCAACACCAAGCCTGCGCTACAGGACACCGTGGTGAACCTCCACAAGCTGGACCCCTCCTGGGCGGCAAAACTCGACTTGATCCACGTCATCGTGTTGCAGACTGCCACGGACTGGCCGGCAGGGCGTGGCCTTATGCGGCGGTACTATGCTGATGCGAATTGGAACGCCATCAAACCGGCTCCTTCGACCTATGAAGCATACGAGTGAGTTCTCCTGCAGATGGTAGGTACCTTGCGGAAGGGGAGGTACCATCGGCAGGGCGTGACCTTATGCGGCAGTACTATGCTGATGCGAACTGGAATGCCATCAAACCGGCTCCTTGGACTTATGAAGCGTACGAGTAAGTTTTCCTGTCGCATGCAACAACGGTGCTAGTAATCTTGTCGTTGCTGGTAGATTGAAGGGCGCGCGACCTTATGCGGCGGTACTATGCTGATGTGAACTGGAACACGATCAGACCGGCTCCTTCGACCTATGAAGCTTACGAGTGAGCTCCTTTCTCCATGCTTTTGTGAGCTCCTTTCGCGCTTCCCCGTGCCCTACTTTACTACCCATACAATGCATTCGAACGGGGAAAGCCCTTCCCAGTGCCCTACTGTACTACGAGAGAACAGTGTTCAACGCATTCGCAGGCCGCAACAAGAGGGGAAAGCCCTTCCCCGTACCCTACTTTACTACCCGTACAATGCATTCGAACGGGGAAAGCCCTTCCCAGTGCCCTACTGTACTACGAGAGAACAGTGTTCAACGCATTCGCAGGCCGCAACAAGAGGGGAAAGCCCTTCCCCGTGCCCTACTTTACTACCCGTACAATGCATTCGAACGGCGTTATCTCATTACTGCTCTCCACTCCCCGCCTCCTCTCTCCCCTGCTCCTGTCTCCATCCGCCCTTGCCACAGAATCGGCATGAGGACAGTGTACAGCACATTCGCAGGGCGCAACAAGAGGGGAAAGCCCTTCCCCATGCCCTTACTGGTGCTGTACTTTCTCCCATTACTCTGCTCTCCCCTAATACTGTCTCCCCATCTCATCTTCCCACAGGATCGGCATGAGAACAGTGTACAACGCATTCGCAGGCCGCAACAAGCGGGAAAAGCCCTTCCCCGTGCCCTACTTCCTCTCTGCTCTCCCTTCCCTCAACGCCCCTTTCTCCCTCCTCCCCCCTTCGCTTATCCTCTTCCCTACCACAGAATCGGCATGAGGACAGTGTTCAACGCATTCGCAGGGCGCAACAAGAGGGGAAAGCCCTTCCCGGTGCCCTACTTCCTGTCAGCACCTCCTCGGCTCAACGGCTGCCAAAACGTCTCTTCCCTCAGCTCGCCACAGCAGGTGGGTGCAGCATGGAAGGTGGGTTGTGCAGCATGGAAGGTGGGTTGTGCAGCAGTGACAGAAGCTGGGTTGATGTATCTGGCACCACCCACACTTCCTGCCCTACTTTCCTCTCAACCCCTCCTCGCCTCAACGGCTGCCAAAGCGTCTGACAGAGACGGAGAGCTGGGGGAAGAGACGTTCTGACAGCCGTTGAGGCGAGGAGGGGCTGAGAGAAAGACCCTGCGTCAGAACGTCACTGTTCTGACCCCGAACAGAGATGTTGCCTGCACCCACCCTCTCCCATATCCAGGCAACATCTCTGTTCGGGGTCAGAACAGAGAAAGACCCTGCCTTAGCACCCACCCTCTCCCATATCCAGGCAACATCTCTGTTCGGGGTCAGAACAGAGAAAGACCCTGCCTTAGCACCCACCCTCTCCCATATCCAGGCAACATCTCTGTTCGGGGTCAGAACAGAGAAAGACCCTGCCTTAGCACCCACCCTCTCCCATATCCAGGCAACATCTCTGTTCGGGGTCAGAACAGAGAAAGACCCTGCCTTAGCACCCACCCTCTCCCATATCCAGGCAACATCTCTGTTCGAGGTCAGAACAGAGAAAGACCCTGCCTTAGCACCCACCCTCTCCCATATCCAGGCAACATCTCTGTTCGGGGTCAGAACAGAGAAAGACCCTGCCTTAGCACCCACCCTCTCCCATATCCAGGCAACATCTCTGTTCGGGGTCAGAACAGAGAAAGACCCTGCCTTAGCACCCACCCTCTCCCATATCCAGGCAACATCTCTGTTCCTCCCCGTCCCCCTCGGTGACAACAAGGCATCTCAAGACTTCCTCCCCATCCAGCAAAGATAATCCAAAACTGCCGCCTCGCCCCTTCCGATTCCTCCCCATCACCTACCTCTCTATGTTCCCTTCTCCCTTCCCTCCTCCCCCTCCATCCCACAACCAGGTAGCATCTCTCTTCCGTGACAACAAGGCATCGCGTGGTTTCCTCCCCATTCAGCAGAGGGTCTTCGACCCTTTCCTCCCTCTCTCCTTCCTCCACCCCTCCCTCCCACAACCAGGTGACATCTCTGTTCGGAGACAACAAGGCATCTCGCGGTTTCCTCCCCATCCTGCAGAAAGACATCTACAATTGCTGCCAACCCATGAGCAAATATTTCCCCTCTTCCCCTTTCCCCCTATTACCAGGTAGCACCTCTCTTCGGTGACAACAACGCGTCGCGTGGATTCTTCCCCATACAGCAAAAGATATATTTCAAACTGCTGCCCTCTCTGCTTCCTGCTCATTCAGTAGTCTTTGAGGTCGTTTTTGAGGCGCCTCAAAGGTCGTTTTTGAGGCGCCTCAAAGGTCGTTTTTGAGGCGCCTCAAAAAAGATATATTTCAAACTGCTGCCCTCTCTGATTCCTGCTCATTCAGTAGTCTTTCTCCTCCCTCTCCTCCCTCTCCTCCCTTTCACACAAGCAGGTGACATCCCTTTTCAACGACAACAAGGCATCCAAGGGTTTCCTCCCCATCCAGCAGAAAGTCTTCCAAAACCGCCGCCCCTTCCGCTTCCTCCCCATCACCTACCTCTCGATGTTCCGAGGAGATGCGTTCATGTCGTCTAGTGGGGCGCACGATGGGGGAAGAGACTGCCTGCACTTCTGTCTGCCGGGTGTGCCGGACACATGGGCCGATGCGCTCTACACCACCATGAAGAATGATAGGTTTATTGTGAATAATGCAGCTAAGTGAAGGGTGCTGCTGAGGGCTTTGTGTGGGCTGGGCTGAAAGGGTCCAGTGGGGCACATGACGGGGGGAGAGACTGCCTGCACTTCTGCTTACCCGGTGTGCCGGACACATGGGCCGATGCGCTCTACACCACCATGAAGAACGACCGGTTTATTGTGAATAATGCAGCTAAATAGAGGGTTTTGAGGGCTTTGACTGGCCTAGGCTGAAAGTGTCTAGACGGCCACATGATGGGGGGAGGCCACTGCCTGCATTGTTTAGGGTGTGCCGTCTAGGCCACTGCCGGCATACCGGGTGTGCCGGACACATGGACGGATGTACTTTTCTACCAGCATGCAGAGCGATAGGTTTCTTGTGAAGTATGCAGCTGAGTGAAGGGTGCTGAGGGCTTTGTTTGGGCTAGGCTGAAAGGGTCCAGTGGGGTGCATGACGGGGGGAGAGACTGCCTGCACTTCTTGTTAACCGGTGCGCCGGACACATGGACGGATGTGCTTTTCTACCTGTGATGAGTCGATTTTTGAGTCGACTCAAATACCGGGTGTGCCGGACACATGGACGGATGTGCTTTTGTACCAGCATGAAGAGCGATAAGTTTCTTGTGTAGTATGCAGCTGAGTAGCAGTGGTAGGGACTGATTGCAATGCTGCTTACCAGGTGTGCCGGATACGTGGGCCGACGATGCTGTCTACACCACCACGAGGTGTAAATAGCTTTGTTGTGAGCGATGCAGCTAAGGGCGTGTTCCTACGCTCTTATCAGGCAAACCTCTTGTCAGCCTTGCCTGGTAAAAGTAGCGAGGGTTTTTGGGTTTAGGGAATTTTCAGGGGGGAAAGTAGCGAGCTTGATAAGAGGTTGGCCTGATAAGGGGCCGTAGGAACACGCCCTAAGTAGTGGCAGGAGTGCTCGACAATTGACTACACTTGTGCGGGTACGGGTGTGCATGGCTGGACACATACCGCACTGGTACGGTATGGTTGGTAAGCTGATGGTACTGCATCTACAGTGCCACAAAGAATGATAGGTTCATCATGTATATTCCATGCTTAAGAAATGAACTACCCGTATATATAAGCTCGGTGTTGAATTCACTAAATAACAATCTACAAGGAGGAATGGATTGGCAGGGTAGCACCAGCAGCGACACCAATTTAATATAATCACCACCACCACTGTCACCACCACTGCCACCACCCATCCAGGGTTTTCCCATCCATGATTCTCCACATTTCCTCCCTAGTCTCTCGCCGCACCCCCTCTCTCCTTGCTCTGTTACCATGTTACTGCCCTCACCACCACCCTCGTCACCAGCATCACCACCAGTGCCACCACCCATCCAAGCTGTTCCCATCCATGAGTCGCCTCATTTCCTCCACATACTCTCGCCTCAACCCTGCTTTCCTCGCGCCTTTAAGCAACAACCCGCGGTAGCGAGCAGAGGGGGGCAGCTCCTTGCGAGGGGGGAGGAACAAGGGGCTCTTGGGATTGGCTCGGAGGGTAAGGGCCTGGGATAGAGGGTGGGGAAGGGCGGGAGGTGGGGGGGATGTTTGAGAGAGTGGGGAAGGGGGGAAAGGTTGCTCCTTTGAGCAACAATCCGTGGTAGCGAGCAGAAGGGGGCAGCTCCTTGCGAGGGGGGAGGACCGAAGGACTCTTGGGATTGGCTCGGAGAGTTAGGGCCTGGGATAGCGGGGGCGAGGGGAGAGAGGGGGGTGGGTTTGAGAGAGTGGGGAAGGGGGGAAAGGATGCTCCTTTGAGTCGCTTTGAGAATTCTCAGAGGGGCAGCTCCTTGCGAGAGGGGAGGAACGAGGGGCTGTTGGGATTGGCTCGGAGGGTTAGGGACTGTTGTAGAGAGGGGAAAGGGATAAGAGGGGCGGATGGGGGGTAGAGAGGAGAAACGGCGGAGAGAGGGTGGAAGCTCCTTGCGAGAGGGGAGGAACGAGGGGCTGTTGGGATTGGCTCAGAGGGTTGAAGCCTGGTGTAAGAAAAGAGGAGGGGGAGGAAACGGGAGTTGGGTGTGAGAGTGGGCCAGAACCAGAAGAGGGAGGAAAAGTAAAGGTTTCGGGTTTATGGTTTAGGGTTTCGGGTTCCGTTCTCAACTCCCATCCATTCTTCTCCTCATCTCCTCCTCCACATCCTCTCGCCGCAACCCCGCTCACTTTCCTCCTTCACCATGTTATTCCCTCCACCACCACCACAATCACCACCACTCTCCACCACCCATCCAGGGATTTCCCATCCATTCTTCTCCTCATCTCCTCTCCTCCACATCCTCTCGCCGCAACCCCGCTACGTTGAAATCACAATTGAGAATTCTCAAAAGCCATCTACTCCACATCCTCTCGCCGCAACTTTTGGGACATCTCAAAAGTCGCAACCCGGCTACGTTGAAATCACTTTTGAGAATTCTCATAAGTGATCTCCTCCACATCCTCTCGCCGCAAGCAACCCCGCTCGATTTTTAAGTAGTGTTTTGAGACGTCTCAAAACACTACTTCAAAAAAGTGATCTCCTCGATATTCTCTCGCCGCAAGCAACCCCGCTCTCCTCGCTCCGGGTAGTTAGTAATCCATGCTAGTGAGGAGCGCTTGTGATTGGCACAGAGGGTTACGGCCTGGGGTAGGAAGAGAACAGAGAAGGGCAATTTGGAGGAGAAAGAACGGCGGTGGGGAGGAGGGAAAAGCAGAGCCTGGGGTAGGGGGGAGGACAGGAAAAGGAATCATTTTGCTACTTTCCTGGCCTAACATGTTTAAAATACACGGTACACGGACAGAGAAACAACTGGTTCCTGGACGGAGAAACCAGCTTCTGAAACATGCAAGGAAGGAGAAGTGAAAACACGCTCACAGCATCAACGGGATTAGCAGCACTGTGCAAATACCTGTACAGTACTGCCGGAGTAGGTGTGTGCTGTAACGAGGTGCTCTATATAGGGTCGCTGCTCGTTGCAAGAGATGCCTTCTGACCTGACAGGAAGGGGGGAAGAGACAGGGAGCGAGGGACATAAAAAGGTGAAAAAAACTGTGTATGAGTGTGTGTGTGTGTGTGTGAGTGTGTGAGAGTGTGTGCGTGTGAGTGTGCATGTGTGAGAGTGTGTGTGTGTGCGTGTGTGTGTGTGTGTGCATGTGTGAGAGTGTGTGTGTGCGTGTGTGTGTGTGTGTGCGTGTGTGTGTGTGTGTGCGTGTGTGTGTGTGCATGTGTGAGAGTGTGTGTGTGTGCGTGTGTGTGTGTGTGTCTGTGTGTGTGCGTGTGTGTGTGTGTGTCTTTGTGAGAGTGTGTGTGTGTGTGTGAAAGTCTGTCCGTGTGTACGTGCGTCTGTGGGTGCATGCACGTGCAGGCTCTAAACAGTCTGAAAAAACAAAAGCAAGTGTGTCCCCCCTCCGGATGATGGGGAAAGGGGACGAAAACGAACAGATACAGTGAAGGAAATACACATAACCACATGCCAACTCACCACATGCCAACTCACCACACGCCAACTCACCACATGCCAACTCACCACATGCCAACTCACCACATGCCAACTCACCACACGCCAACTCACCGCCAACTCACCACATGCCAACTCACCACACGCCAACTCACCACATGAGCAACAGAAGGAGAAGGGGAGGGAGACAAAGAGAAGAGGAAGCACGCAAACATCAACTCACCACATAAGCCGTTCGTAGTCGATTCGTCGCATCTGCACCACCAATCCATGCACACTCGGACTTCCATCGCTACCCTCCATCCCCGCTACAGCCGCCCCGTTTCGCGCTACAGCAGAACCGGCCTCAGCTACAGCCGCCCTGCTTTGCGCTGCAGCTGATTCACTTCCCGCTACAGCTGATCTGGTCCCCGCGACTCTATCCCGCCTATTTCCTGCTACAGACGGTCTCATCCCTGCGACAGGCTCAATCGCCGCTACAGCCGGTTCAAATGGCGGCAGCACGCGGATGTTGAACGCCAGGCGATGATGGTACACCACCGCCGGCTCTGCTACAACCGGATCCTCCTCTGCTACAGCCGAACCCAGAACGTGTGCTACAGGCGCGTTGACTCCCGTTGACCGCCGCTGTAGCAGATCCAGGTTGAGATTTGATCCGAACGCGAAGTAGTTGACTGTAGCGAGGGGTGACAATAACGAAGAATCGGATAAGATCGAGGGCCGGTCGGATGTAGCGGGCGCTACAGTCGCCAGCCACGCGGTCAGAAGCAGCGAATTGGTAAGCTCGTTCGACCCGTTTCGCGGAAGCTTCCGACCCATGGTCCAATCGACCTCAGTAGTATTATTAGTACGGCTACTAGCGGAAAGCTCTCGTTCTCCCCCGCCCCTTCCCCTTCCCCCTCCCCCGGTTCTTAGAGCCGCCGCTTTCGCCGCCTCCGCGCCTTTCTCCCCCCCGTCCGCGGAAACGGCTGCGCACCGCGAAGCGCTTCGCTGGGAATTTGCGGATCGTAGGCGCGTTTGCGGTGTTCGTGACCGAACGGGATTGGCTATTTGCGGGCGGAATCCACGGAAAGGTGCGGACGCCGGTAATTGCGGCGGCCATGTTATCCGGAAAGCACATGGTTGGAAGGAACTGCAATGATTAGCTACTAACGGGGATGAGGTGGACGTGGTTGCATTTAGGACCACCATGATCGAGCCGCGAACCGAATCAGCGGCAGGAAGAATCAAGGATAAATGTATGAGGATTTTGAAAACATTTCGATCCGATATGAAAGGTAGACTCACTTTCCAAGTAAATGTTACATATTTTGACTGTATCGAAGAACGAGTACATCTGGCCGTGCCTAGGGATCTGGTTCGGCTGGTGGTGATTGGGTATGTGAGGCTGAGAGGCAACGCGGACTTTGGTACGGGAGATGGTTGCAGGTCAGGTAGGGGAAGTACATCCCAGCTCCTTTGTTTAAAAAATCCATCAAATTGAGTCCCAAGGATACTAAGAGCGTGTCCGAAGTGAAGCGTCGAATGGATGTCGATGGATGTCGGTAATGTCAACCCTCGGATCGAGAGTTCCAACCGTCAGGATTTACCGACATCGGATGTCGACGGATGTCGACTTCACTTCTGACCCGCCCTAAGTCCAGCTTCATGGAATGGAGACCCGCGCGAGGCCCAGATCATGTTCAAAACTGGTCATGCGGGGCAAAATTCTCGACACGTGTCCATCTTTGCATTGGATTTTTTTTTAGGGGCAAAAAACATAAAACCCCTAAGGAACCAGGACACATTTTCGGGAGGAATCAACCGAAAGTGTGTTTAGGGTTGATTTTTTCCGCATGTGTGTCCTGGTTCTCTAGGGGTTTTATGCTTTTTTTCACCCGTCAAAATTTCTCCAATGCGAAAATGGACACCTGTCGAAACGTTTTCACCCGTCAAAACTTCTAGAAGGTCGTACCTTTTTAGTAAACCTGGGGCTAAATATGGCATTATGCACGGTCCTCATTGTTCGAGCCTACCCTAAACCCTGATCGTGGCCCTAAGGGCGTGGGCCCAAACGGGTTTGATCGCGACTGATCTGATCGGGTTGCTTGTGATCGCAATGCCCGAGCCGCCCGATCAGTAATGTTTTTCTTAGAAGATTCTTCTCGGCTGCTCAGCAAGCAGGATTTAATTACCTGGTATTTTCGTGGCAATCTTAGCGAGACTGGCGACCAGACGGCTTCTGGCGAAACTCTCTGTATCCAAGTAATATCGTGAAAACCACTCCCCTCTGGAGCCGAAGTGGTGGGATTCCACCAGATTGTTCGACACAGGCTGTATGTTCCTTGGGAACGAGGAGAATGATTGGATGGCGAAATGGATGCTATTCCAGGGTGTTCTGTACAGGCTGGACATCTTCGTGAGGGACTGACGAATCCGTGTAATATAGTGTAACTTTTAGTCAGTATCGCTGATCGTGGGTGATCGAAGAGAATCGACTATGATCGGGGGGTAAATCGGGTCTGATCGAGTTGGGGCGATCAGCTGATCGCGATCAGCTGATTGCCCCTGATTGCCTGAATTTGGCCTCCAGGCTTCCTGGAAAGTATTGATCGCGGCTGATCGAGGGGATCAAACCCGTTTGGGCCCACGCTATAACCGCAAAAGGCATTGTTGTGAAAGTTGTCGTGCTTTTCAGGACAGTGAGGACTTGGCCAAGATTATGAGAAGACAAGTTCCAGCCATGAAATCAGCCAAAACCAGTCGAACATCTCTTAGCTAAAACAAAGCAGCAGTGAGAGTCGTGATACGGAGGGACGGAGGCTTCAGTGTCTGCACTGCACATGCCCGCCAGCTTTGAAAAAATACCTGTTTTCGGGAACTCTAAATGACACTTCAGCTAGACTGTACAGTACACGTATCACTCAAGTGCATCCCCCCAGCAGCCAGCTGGCTAGCCACCCACCAATCCCCTCCCTTCCCCTCCCGTTTGGTCCCTTCTCCCCATCCCGTGTCGCGTTTTTTCGCGCCACTTCCGTCGCTTCCGCCATCGCCGCTACCCTCCGCGAAATTTCCAGTTGAAGTCGCCCAAGTCAGCAGCACACTATTCATTGCAAGTTCCTTCTGTCGCCTCCACAGGTCCCAGAAGTTCATGCATGAATATTCAGGCTGGTGAGTAGCGGTTCTTAGTGGTGACGTGCATAAGGGCTCTGGATTGCACGTTATCGTTCTCAACCGCTTGTCCTGAACAAGGATTTGACTATCAGAAACCAAGACTCAGATCGTGATACAGTACAGGACTGTACTAGGAGACTTTGCTACACCTGATGCCTATTTCAGTCCCCTTCCCCATCTTTCCCTGTGCTCCTCTCTCGAGCACGCGCTCCCCATGGGGAGAATGGGACTGTATTTGGGAAACTCGAATAACTTATTCGAGGTCAAGAATATCTTAGTTTTGTCGTGGGCTAGTAACGCGCGGGCCGTTGGCTGTGAATGTCGACCACTGGGCGTATGGAGTGGCAGGGCTTATGTTCAGAGTGGGCGGTTGAGTGAGCATTAGGGTGTACACATTGAATCACGCTGCCAGCTGGAAGATCTATTGCTGACACCCACATCTCCACTGCACCATAGCATTTGACCACATCACGCCACCGAACCTCCATTCCAGCTGGCGGCAGCAGAGCCACTCGTCGCACCATTTAGAATGCAGCACTAAAAAACATGGAACAATTGTGCTTGTGGGAACGAATCCAGTCCTCCAAAGGACGAACTGTCATGGGGAGGCAACGGTAGAGTAATAGGGTTTTCAAGGTACAGATACAGTTCCCTCCTAATCCTTGCATCGCCCATTATCAAAACTGACGGCACCGCCTGCAAAGCGCCTGCAAAGCAGTCCTTGTGCCGTTTCCAGCCGGCGATGTGGTGTTGTGTGGGCTGGCATGGCACAGAGTTTCAGAGCGACAAACGTTGAGGAGATGTCAAGAAAACTCGTTCTTTCTCAGAATGTCCAGGCCGGGCAGGGGAGGGAACGGAATGAACGAAGGGAACGGAGGAAACGGAGGGAACAGAACGGAACGGACGAATGGAACGACTGCCACGTGAAGTACAGTATTTCTCTAATTGCCCAGTGGATGGAGTTGACCGAGTGCGGTACAACTGCTGGTTGGACTGTTGCGTCACATAAATGCTGTTCTCTTTTGTCAAATCCCGCATAGTTCCACAGTACAGTAATTTGTAAGCAGGCCGACCAAATTACAGCCACCTAGCCTTCCAGACAAGAACAGTCCCAGCTGTACCTCGGCTCGGCATTGGCGGGAGCCCCCTCGACAGGCTGGCATGCCACTGTAGCGAACCAGAAATCGCAGATTCTAGGGCACCCAAGAAAAATATATCGTCTTGTCTGATGATGAACAGTGGAGGCAGAACTGAGGGCAGATGTCAAGCGCATGCGCATGGTGCGTTGCATTGGCCAGGTGACGTGGCGTCCAGGATGGATGGATGGATGGTTTGCGTTGCGCCGCCTGTCCGTTGTTGTTTCAGTTACCCTGGTGCATCGCGCTCCGCCCCTTCTCCGCAAAGACGAAAGAGTCTTTCTTCCGCCTGCGGCATTCTGTTGATCACATGATACGCATCAAAATGGTTGGTTGGTATCAGCTGCGAATGATTCCCCTCACCGTGCACCTATCGTTGTTTCTCCGCACGCTCCTGTAAGCTCATAGACGCGTGAGGCGGCGGAGCTTTCAGGCCGAATCCGCCCCCCCTCGCCCGTGTATCCCGCTTAATTATGGCGGTAGAGACAACAGGAAAACCCCGACGGCGGCTCTTCAACAGCCCCGCAAAAGGCGGAGCTGATAACGGCGTCCGTGGCGCCGCCGGGGCCGCCGCTGACCCTGTCCCCGCCTGCGCCGCGACTTCTGGCGGCGGGTTGAAAGAACACCTCGAATCGCGAAAGAAACGCGGCGCGTGGACGGCGGCGGAGGACGTGGAGCTGCTCGCTTACGTGGCAAAGTTCGGCGCGGGAAATTGGAAGCACGTGGCGGAGGCGACGGCGTTGAAACGCGACGCGCAGAGCTGCCGTCTGCGATGGTCCAGCCACCTAGACCCTAAGGTACGCATGGGGCACGTCACGAAAATGAGCCGAAGGGGAGGGGGCGGAGAGGGGAGGGGGAGGGGGGAGGCGGAGGGTGAAGGGGGAGGGGCGACGGGGGGGGCGGGGGGGGGGGGGGGGGGGGGGGGGGAGGGGGGAGGGGAGGAAAAAGGGAGGGGAAACGGTGGAGTGTCCTGGGCTCTTCAATGCAGGTCAACCGCGCTCTCTTTCTGACAGGCGATCTGCTCATTCTCCCCTCCCCCCATTTCCCCGCTCTTTAATGCAGTCAACCGTGCTCTCTTTTTGACGGCTCTGTCTATTGTCCTCTCACCCCATCTTCCCTCCTCCCTTCCCCCCCTTCCCCCCTCCCCCCCTCTTCCCCCTTTCACCAGCCCCAGCTTCCGCAAGTGCAGGTCAAACGCGCTCCATTTGTGACCGCTCTGCCTATTTCCCTCTTCTCCTCCCCCTCATCCTCCCCCCCCCCCCCCCCCACCCCTTCCTGGGGCTCCTTCCTTTCACCCCACCCGCCCTCTCCTGCTCTTTCCCCTTTCCCCTCCCCTCCCTCTTCCCCCCTACCCCCTAATGCAGGTCAACCGCGCTCCATACACGCCAGAGGAAGACGCCCGGCCCGACTGCTAGCAAGCGTCGCATGAACCTCCCACACCTATTTTCGGCTGACTTAACCCTGCCTTCCATCTTCCCTCCACCAATGCAGGTCAACCGCGCGCCATTCACACCAGAAGAGGATGCAAGACTGCTAGCGAGAGTAGCGTTGGGCACCCACGGCTATTTTCCGCTTACTTACCTCTGCTACCCATCCTCCCACCCCACCAATGCAGGTCAACCGCGCCCCATTCACGCCAGAGGAGGATGCAAGACTGCTAGCGAGCGTTGCATGGAGCTCCCACGGCGAAACCAAGTGGGCTGGGATCGCCTCGGCAAAATTCCCCTCGCGAACTGGTTACCAGATTCAGAGCCGATGGCACAGCCTGGTGAACAAGCAGCGCCGGTGGATCAACGAGGGGAAAGAACTCCCCCCCTGCCTTGAAGGCGCGGGCGCAGAGCAGGGCACTCGCTCCATCCGTAGTGGCCGGGCGGCAACGGATGGAGGGAAAGCACCCCCCTCCTGCCTTGAAGACGCTCCACTCGTTGCCGCACCGCCGGGGAGGTCGGCAGGAAGCACTGGTACAGCTACTTTCACCCCGCCGCCGCCCGCAGCCGCCCGAGAGCGGCCGGCGAGAAAAACCGTCGCCACAGATGCTTTGGCCGTTGTGAACCCTGTGTGCGTGACAGGTGGAATGACGGCGCATGCCACATTCCCCATTACCCCAGGCACTACTGCCTCAGGAGCTACCTCAGGAGTTGCCTCAGGTGTTGCCTCAGGTGATTTCCCAGGTCTTCCCTCAGGTGGTTCCTCAGGTGTTTTGCGGTGTGTTGCTCCAAGTGCTGCTGCTTCAACGGCCGTTGCAGACTCTACTGATCCCTCAGCAGTTGCTGCGTTCATCCTAGCCCTCCAATCCGCAATCAACGGCCGCCCTCAATCCCCAAGCTCAGTGACCCAATTAGACCCATCCACCCCTGCACGTGCTCCCCCTGCTGCCGCTGCTGCTGTTGTTACAGCCCCTCTAGGTATATCCTCTGTATGTGCTACCCCTGCACCTTCTGTTTCTCCTGCTGCTGTTGCTGCTGCTGCTGCTGCTGTTACAGCCCCTCTAGGTGCTTCCTCTGTAGGTGCTACCTCTGCTGCTGCTGCTGCTTCTCCCCCAGACGTTGCTGCGTTCATCCAGGCCCTCCAATCTGCAATCAACGGCCGTGATCAACCCTCGAATTCGACAACCACCCTTCAGTACTCCACCACGCATGTGAATACACCCTTCCGCCATTCCACGACCCTTCAGAAAGCCACCCAACCGAAATCAACCGTTTCTAAATGTGCCACCCTGGATTTCACCACCGGTTTAAAACGACCCCGCACCGCTCTGCTGCCACCCACCACCGCTCTGTTACCACCCACCACCGCTCTGCCTCGACCCAATACCGCACCAGCATCAGCAGCAGCACCAGCAATAACATTGGAGCTTTCTCTCTTCCCACTTACCCCTCAATCTTCCGCCAGCGATAGTGACTCCAAGTCACATGCCTCTGGCCTTAATCTATCCCTTTCGCTGCAACCCCCTGCACATGCTTCCAGCGCACATGCCGCTGCCTCTGTTACTCCGACAAGGCTTGATGGGGTGAATGCTGATCAGTCAACAATCGGAGGGGCCGACATACTGGTTCGGTCTGAGAGCGGCAACGGGTGGATAATGAAGCGTGCTTATAGCGAGGCTTTTGATCCTGAGGCTGCTGAAGCCAGCACTGCTGAACTCAACGCTGCTGACGTGGCACAAGGCGTGCTGAAAAGCATGGGTCTGCAAGGAACGCAACAAGGCATGCTTCAAAGGGGCATGGCACAGCATGGGTCTGGAGTATGGGGACGCAATGAGGTGATAGTGGGATGTGACGACCAGATTGCAAAGAGAATCAGGACCGAAGCAACAAGAACGGCCACTTTTATGATGCCTCAAACATGCTCCCAAGGCGTTCTGCAAGGCACGTTGAATCGCGAGGTGGTGAATGGATGGGCTACGCATGCCATCCCTGCCATCCCTCGCTCAAGCAGCGGGGGCAGCAGCACGTGCTGTAAGGCTCCTCAGCAAATCACCGCACTTCCATCCCCCCAGCAACCATACTTCCCCTCTGCTGCTGCTGCTGAAGCCGCTGCTACCATCCCTGCCATTCCTCGCTCGAGCAGCGGCGGCAGCGGCACGTGCAGCAGTGCAGTGGCATGTGGGGGTGATGATAAGGATTGGGATGGAATGCAGATGCAGGGTGTTGAAGTGGGGTTTTTTCTGGAACAGCGGAGGAGGCAGCAGCAAGCTCAGGAGGTTCAGTGGGAGAGAGAAAAGAAGTTGCTGCTCTGTGTGCAACAGGGGAGAGGAAACGGGAGAGAGGAGGGGGGGAAGGAGAAGAGACAGCAGAAACAGCATCAGCAGCAGCATCAGGAGCATCATGAAGGGGAGCAGCAGCCACTGTACCAGCAATTGGCTGTGCATGTGCTTGCAGGTCTGCTGATGAAACATGGCTGAAGCACAGAGCTAGGTGTTGCAGTATCAGCACCATCAACAGCAACTGAAGCAGCAGCACGAGCCGCGGCAGCAGCACGAGCCGCAGCAGCAAATTTACCATTCCTAAGTTGACAATAGGTACAAATACCACCATATTATGATGGCTTGCTGAAATATGGATAGGTAGTGTAGCATTTTTGGCTTGTGTGAGCTGTAGAATGATTGCTTAGTTTAAATTGCATACTTTGAGTTGCTCTCTTCATGGCAGATCTTTCTGTTTCCTCATTTTCTGATCTGGGATTCAGTGAGTAAGGATGTGAATATACAATTCTGTGCTTCCAAAACATTCACATTGTTATGTTGTAATTCTCCATTGTAAGAACTGTTCTGAAGTGAAAATGAAACGCTTTGCTTTGAGTGATCTTAGTTGATCAAGTAACTGAAAACAAGTCAGGAGATGCCGAAGGTGAACAGTCCTGATTTTATTTCGGCTGGATACTTGAGGGAATCCCAAGGTCACTGGGACTCGCGGAAGTTCCGAGACTTCACTTAGGGCATCCGACACCCGAACACAGCAAGAATGGGGCTCCAGGGAAGCGAGTGATCGTAACCCTCTTTTTGCGCCTCCTAGAGAACTTTGCCAAGATTTGAATAGACAATGTCCATGTTGAGGAACAATCAACTGCATCCAACCCCGATTATCGTGCACCTCTTAGCTAAAAACAGCAGTAAAAGTGTTTGGGGGGGGGGTTACCGTGTCAAAGAGCACATCGCAATCGCACATTTGTGTGTGCGCACGGCACATGCCACCCATTTTTGGAGTGAACTACTTACGTATCACGTTAGTTCACAAGTGTAAGGCACCCGTTTTAGGAGGCGCTAACCATAGGCAGTGCTTTAGTATCATTCCCTTGCAGCAGCCAGTTTGATTCCCTCCTTTCACTCATTCGGTCCCTCGGATTGCCGTCCTTTCCGCCATCCGTCACTTTCGCCACTTCCGCAAAGCTGGAAGTCTACTGTTAGACACCCACAAATTTTTCCAAACCATTCCAGTTCACCACAGCACGCCACTTATTTCCACCATTCCAGCTGTCGGCAGCAGAGCCATTCGTTCGTCGCATCATTGCGTACTGAAACGTTAGAAATGCCGCACGCATCGTGTCTATGGTCCGGTGGTTGCTTGTGACGAATCGACACGAAACGGGTCATGCCAAAGACCGAACGTGTAAAAGGACGGTTATCTTGCTGGCCTCCCTCCTTCAGTGGGCGACGCGCCTGCAAAAGCGGCTCCCGTCAAGTAGGGAATCGGGACGGAACGCGCGGGATATACCTCTAGCAGCCAAGTGAGCGGGGTGGGCCGAATGCAAAGTCCGTCTTCTACAGTTGACGGTTTGGAACAGAAGTCAATGAGGTACAGTTCTTGTTCACATCTGTCCAATTCCGCACAAGGGGGACTAGTCAGCCACCCACTTGTAACCCACGACCAGCAGCAGTTGCCGGATCATCACACCCCCGACGCAATCTGAGCTTCGAATCGAAACACGCCACATTTCCATCCCACCCACCCACCTACCTATACACACGAGAACAGGGGCGCCATGGCTCGATTCGGCCTGCGCTCCGACAGGCTGGCGTTATGGTCTGTTTCCGAATTTCGAAATTCGGGCACCCGAGGAAACTTTTCTTCGGAATTCTTTGAAAGAATGGGCCTTGTCGGATTGAACAGTGGGTCAAAACCGCTGTTGGCCGATGTGTGCAGTGCAGTGCCGCTGCATCCATGCTGCATGCATTCACGTACCATCACGCCTTGCTTGCGCTCTACCTTTCCGCGACATGCTGTCGCGGCCCTTCACTTCCTTCCGCTTCTTCCGATGATCCGACGAGTGGCGGTGGTACTAGTAGCTGCAGCTACGATGAATACCGTTTTAAGCCACTCTTTCCTGCTGCTGCAAGCTGCACTGCGAAATCATTTCTTGACAGTTAGTTCAAAACCGCGGAGCTTTCAGGCTGAATCTCACCCCCCCTCGCCCGTGTTTCCCGCTCAAAAGAGGAATGGCGGCAGAGGTGACAGGATCGCGACGGCGGAGGCTCTTGAACAGCCCCGCAACTGGCGGCGCTGATAGCGGCGTTTGTAGCGCCGCCGTGGACGCCGCCGCAGACCCTGTCCCCGCCCGCGCCGCAACTTCAGGCGGCGGGTTGAGAAAACACCTTGAATCGAGGAGGAAGCGCGGGGCGTGGACGGCGGCGGAGGACGCGGAGCTGCGCGCTTACGTGGCAAAGTACGGCGCGGGAAATTGGAAGCACGTGGCGCACGCGACGGCGCTGAAACGCAACGCGCAGAGCTGCCGTCTGCGGTGGTCCAGCCACCTAGACCCTAAGGTACGCCCCTTTTGGCTGCGAGGAGGGGGAGTGCGGGGTCGGAAGGGGGGTGGAGGGGAAGGGGGAGTGGGTTTAGGGTTTAGGGTGCGGGGCAGAAGGGGGTCGGAAGGGGGGTGGAGGGGGAGTGCGGGGCAGGGGGGGACGCGACGCGCAGAGCTGCCGTCTGCGGTTGTCCAGCCACCTAGACCCTAACGTACATGGGGCACGTCACGAAAATGAGGCAAAGGGGAGGGGGGAGGTGGAGAGGGGGAGGGGGAGTGGGGAGGGGAGGGGGAGGGGGAAGGGGGAGGGGCGCGGGGGGCGGGGGCGGGGGAAGGGGAGGAGAAAGGGAGGGGAAACGGTGGAGAGTTCTGGGCTCTTCAATGCAGGTCAACCGCGCTCCCTTTCTGACGGCTCTGCCTATTTTCCTCTCACCCCATCTTCCCTCCTCCCTCCCCCCCCCCCCCCCCCTCCCGCTTCCCCCCTCCCCCCCCCCCCCCCCCCCCTTCCCCCCCGCCCCAACTCCCGCAAGTGCAGGTCAACCGCGCTCCATTTGTGATAGCTCTGCCTTCCCTCTTCTCCTCCCCCTGACTTAACCCTGCCATCCATCTTTCCCTCCACCAATGCAGGTCAACCGTGCGCCCTTCACGGCAGAAGAAGACGCTCGATTGCTAGCAAGCGTCTGGGGCTCCCACGGCGAAACCAAGTGGGCCGCTGCTAATGAGTCGACTCAAAAATCGCTCCTTCCCCACCTCTTTCGCCCCCTCCCTCCTACCCCCAATGCAGGTCAACCGCGCCCCATTCACCCCAGAGGAAGATGCGCTTCTGTTATCAAGTGTCTCATGGGGCTCCCACGGCGAAACCAAGTGGGCCGCAATTGCCTTGACTGAAAGAGTGCTGCCTTTCCCCCTCCCCCTTCCCCTCCCCCCCCGCCCTCCACTAATGCAGGTCAACCGCGCGCCCTTTACCCCAGAGGAAGACGCAAGCCTGCTGGCGAGCGTCGCATGGGGCTCCCACGGCGAAACCAAGTCGGCCCACTCATTTCCTCTCCTCCCTCCTTCCAGCCATGCAGGTCAACTGTGCGCCCTTCACACCAGAGGAAGACGCCCGGCTGCTAGCGAGCGTCGCGTGGGGCTCCCACGCACCTTGTGACCGCGTGGGCATCGCTCGGGGCTCCCACGAGGAAACCAAGTGGGCCGCGATCGCCTCAGCCAAGTTTCCCTCGCGATCTGGTTACCAGATCCAGAGGCGATGGCACAGCCTGGTTAACAAGCAGCGCCGGTGGATCAACAGGGGGAAAGAACTTCCCCCCTCCCAGGAGGCGGGGGAACTGCCCCTTCCCCTTGAAGAGCAACGCCGGTGGATCAATGCTCCCTCTACTACCTCCCCCGAGGGGGGAAGGTCGTTGTCGGCGGGGGGAAACACTGCTGCCGCCAAAGATGCTCCACCCGTTGCCGCCCTGCCCGGAAGGTCGGCGGGAAACACTAGCCCCGCTTCTGTCACCCTGCCGCCCGCTGCCGCCCGGGGGCAGTCGGCGAGAAAAACCGCTGCCGCAGATGCTTTGGCCGTCGTGACAGGTGGAATTACGGCACATGCCACATGTCAAATTACCCAGGCACTACTGCCTCAGGTGCTGCCTCATGTGTTATCTCAGGTGTTGCCTCAGGTGGTTCCTCAGGTGTTTTGCCGTATGTTGCACCAAGTGCTGCTGCTCCAATTGCCGCTGCTGCAGCCTCTGCCAATCCCCGTCGCCGCGTTCATCCTAGCCCTCCAATCCGCAATCAACAGCCCTCCTCAATCCCCAAGCTCAGGCACCCATTCATACCCTTTCGCATCTGCACATGCTCCTGTTGCTGCTCCAGCCCCTGCTGCTGCTATTACTCCCTCAACCGTTGATGCGTTCATCCTAGCCCTCCAACCCGCAATCAACGGCTGTCCTCAAACACCCACTAGCTCTACCATCCGTCTCCTTCCCACCCTCCGTTCAGAACCCTCCTCCCCTGCACCTGCTGCCCCTGCACCTGCTTCCCCTGCGGCATTCATCCAGACCGTCCAATTTACAATCAACGGTCTCCCACAACCACCTACCAGCTCCACCTCCCTTCAGTTTCCCACTCTCCATTCAGAATCCTCCTCCCCTGCACCTGCCTCGTTCGCTGCTGCTACATCCCCTGTGGGTGCTTCCTTTACAGGCGTTTCCCCCATTGTTACTTCCCTAGCTGGTGGTGATGCTGCTGCTGCTGCTGCTCCTGTTTGCTGCTGCTACTCCCTCAACAGTTGCTGCGTTCATCCAAGCCCTCCAATCCGCAATAAACGGCCTCCCTCAATCCCGAAGCTCAGGGACCCAAATAGACCCATCCCCCCCTGATGCTGCTGCTACTCCCTCAACAGTTGCTGCGTTCATCCAAGCCCTCCAATCCGCAATCAACGGCTGTCCTCGACCCTCCAGTTCGACCTCTACCCTTCAATATCCCTCCTCCCATCACTGGACTTTGATCACCCACCCAGATTCCACCACCGATCATCACACGTCAAGTATCGCGAGAAGTTTCCAAGGAAATTTCCCAGCACAACAAATAACTTCTGAGGTGCTTCATAAGCGTCTCTCTATTCGTCCAGAGTTACCCCCCCGTCCGCATTCCGCGCATAACATATCAACCCATCAGGACCCTATCGTACCAACCACCACTGTTCTGTTACCACCCGGCACCGCTCTGCCTCGACCCAACACCGCACCAACAGCACCAGCAGGAGCATTGGAGCTTTCTCTCTTCCCAGTTACCCCTCAATCTACCAGCAACAAGAGTGATTACGAGTCACAAGCTTCTGGCCTTAGTCTAGACCTTTCCCTGCAGCCCCCTACTCATACATCCAACACACATGCCCCTGCTGCTGCTGCTGCTGCTGCTGCTGACAAGCCAGGAGCAGCAGTGAATCATGAATCAATCAGAGATACGCAAGGAGGGGTGATTGCTGCTCTGTCAACAGTTAGAGAGGCTGACATGCTGGCTCGGTCCTGCAGTGGCAACGTGTGGATAATGAAGCGAGCTTATAGCGAGGCTTTTGAGCCTGAAGCTGCTGAAGCCCACGCTGCTGACGTGGCACAAGGCATGCTGAGAAGCATGGCTCAGCAAGGTTTGGTTTCGAAGCGAATCAGCATGGCATGCTGACAGTGCGATTGCGAAGCGAATCAGGACCGAAGCAGAGGGAATGACCACGCTCAAGGCGCCTCCAAGATTCTCCCAAGGGTTGCTGCAAGGCATGTTGAGAAGCATGGCTCAGCAAGGTTCGGTGCAAGACAGCGGGACTGCCAAGCGAATCAGGTCCAGAGCAGAGGGAACAACCACGCTTAAGGCGCCTCCACGATTCTCCCAAGGCGTGCTGCAAGGCATGCGGAATTGCGAGGTGACGAATGGACATGCCATCCCTGCCATGCCTGCCATCCCTGCCATTCCACGCTCAAGTAGCGGGGGCAGCAGCACGTGCAGCAATGCAGTAGCATGTGGGGGTGCCCTCCCTTCCCTCCCTTCCCTCCCTGCCCTCCCTGCCATCCCTTCCCTCCCTTCCCTCCCTGCACCCCCTGCCATCCCTGCCATCCCTGCCATCCCTGCCCTCCCTGCCATCCCTGACCTCCCTACCATCCCTGCCCTCCCTGCCCTCCCTGCCATTCCACGCTCATGTATCAGCGCGGGCAGCAGCACGTGCTGTGAGGCTCCTCAGCCGAGCACCGCTCTTCCACCCCCGCAGCCACCATATGCATCCACTGCTGCTGCTGCTGCTGCTGCTGCCGCCGCCGCCGCCGCTGCTGCTGCTGCTGCTGCTCATACCACCCTTGCCATCCCACACTCATGTAGCAGCAAGGGCAGCAGCACGTGCCATGAGGCTCCTCAGCCGAGCACTGCTCTTCCACCCCCCCAGCCACCATATGCCTCCACTGCTGCTGCTACCGCTGCTGCTGCTGCTGCTGCCGCTGCTGCTGCTGCTGCTGCTACCGCTGCGACGGCGGCGGCAGCAGCAGCAACAGCGGCAGTAGCGGCAGCAACAGCGGCAGCAACAGCAACAGAGGCAGCAGAAAGCGAACGAGGTGCAGTGGGAGCGAGAAAAGAGGCTGCTTCTTTGTGTGAAGCAGGAAAGACAGCTTGTTTTGCAAGTACAGCACAGTCGGCACCAGTCAGCACTACGGCACCAGCAGCACAGTCGGCACCACCGCGAGTGCGAAGCGCTCCGCGCGGGATTTGCATATCGAACGTGCGTTGCGGTTTTTGTGAGTGAACGAGATTGTCTCTGGAAATCACATGCTCGAAAGGAATTTAGTTGGTTAGCTATTAACGGGGATGAGATGGATGTGGCTGCGACCATGATCAAGCCGCGCTATGAACAAGCTGGTGAAGAATATCTAGATGATGTTTGTGTAGCCGATTATACGTTTCTACTACAGAGGAGAAAACAATCCTTCAAAATTGTTCGTACGAAGTACTCTATCAAGCATACATACCGGACTATGCACACCTGGTTCTGTTTGAACCACAGTGGTCAGGTGCACTTCGGTGCTCCGAACCTATTTTTCCCTCCCCCAAAGCAAGGAATTTCGAGCCTCACTTCTGAGACCAGAGTGTCCCAAAAACACCAATAGATGGGCATGCCGCAATGCAAGTTTAGTGGTTGTAAAAGGCCCATCGGAAAAAAGTTCTACAAAAAACAAGAAACAGACCGTCAGAAGCAGAGCATTTATAGGATTGATGCCATCTCGACTCCGTCAAGATTTGAACAGTGCGTATAGATGCCATCAAACATACTCTCGAGTCCCATGTTTCCCTCGAGCTCGCCGCCATGGCGGCTTACCGTTTGCCTGGAACTCACATTGCGTGAAGCCCGATCATCAGCTGGCTTTAATTTTACCGGCATTGTCTTCGCTACACCTTTACGAAGAAGGCTATACCTATTATGTGTTCATCATGCGAACATTGCGTGGTCTTCTCAAGGGTGTCTTGCGCTGGTCCAAGTTTCAAAGCCCAAGGCTAACGCGTGGTTCTCTAGGTCACGGCATACTATCAAGGAACCACCTAAGCTAACAATCATTGGCTACGCAGATGTTGTGCAACGGGATGACCCCGAAGTTTTATCTTCAGCGTCACAACATCTGTGTCGGGAAAAATGGTCCACCACAGGCGCTTCCTATGTATTTAACTCTGCTGTGCTCAGACAACCGGCTCATCAGTTTCTTCAGCTCATATCTTCAGAGTTTCTTCCGGTCTATTGTCATCATTGTCATCACTGCAAGATGCCTCCGAAAAGCTCTCGCGCTAAGGCGGTGGTTGATGCTCCTGCTGGTGGTGGTGATCCTGCAAGCAAGTCGACACCAAGCAAGGGAAAGGAGGTCATTGACAATCTCCCGTCGGAAGCGGAGGTGACGGCTGGTAGCTCTGGTCTCACCATTGAGGAAAAACTGCAAGCGCTGGCTACGGTTGCTTCGGATGACTCGTTTATTGGGGATGATTCAGACGAGGGACTTGAGATTGACACGTCCAAGAGTGCTCACCCGCATTTGCGCTTCACGGCGGTTTTGCTCTTCCCGGTTATTCCTTCTCGCGAGGTTGCTTCGATGATTCCGACCGTGAGGATGCTGATGAAGCGTGTCTGGTCTAACCTGCTTACTGATGATTTCCTCGCTTCGGTGAAGTTTAAGGAGCTGTCCCCCGCTTTTGTCGCGAAGACCCGCTACAGCCGGCTCCAGGTCTCCTTCCTGCATGAGTTCGACGCGGTGAAAATCAAGCAAAGGGCTGTGGAACACAAACGACAGAACGGAACGACACTTCATTGTTTCTAGCTGCACCAGGAGGATGATGCTTACCTTTGCAAGAAGGCCTCGGGCCCGCAGCTGCTGGAAGTCTACTTTAAGGATGTTCCCGCGGATATCCCGCCGGAGCTGGTTAAGGAGGTCATGGTTACTCACCCACTCAGGGTCCGGAAGCAGTCTGCTTTTGCTGAAGGCCACTGCTTCCACCACGTTCTTCACCCTGTCACCGGCGCTGACACTGATCGGATCAAGGGGTTGGTGATTCAGCACGCTGGCGATAAGCATCGCTGGCGCCACGAGTTTCGCCATCAGCTGCTGGGAGGGACGACACTGTTGGCCCACTACCCGTTGCTATCCTGTCCGCTCTGTGGTGGTCACCATTATGACAAGTTTCATAATGTTTTCATCACGGAGCGTTTGAATAACATAGGGAAGTGGAGTTTAACTGTGGGACGGGTTCATAGGATCAATGGTAACCGCTGCTTATGCTTGTTGGGTTGTCGTTTTACCTTTCGTATCTTGTCAGTCACTGACGCGTCGCTTGCCCCTCGCAGCTGCTTCTCTCCGCGCTTCTCCGCTTATCACCCCACTACTGCTGGATGAGGCTTTTGTGCTCATCTCCACTGGGAGCAATCGGGAGGAATGGCTGTGTACCCTCGAGAGTTGCGGGAAGACTCATGGCAAGTCCTTCATGGCTGCAGCGGACCACATCACGTCGGCAAGTCACCTGCTGGGCCTGGAGAAGTTGGGTGCAGCCACCCGCAGCTCCCTGGAGAAGCTCGGTCTGCATGTCATCCGCAAGGAGTACCAAATCTGAGCCACCCACTTGCATGCTGGAAGTAGAGTTGTGTAGCAATGGCGATTTCTCTTGTTTGTGTAGATGTAACTGGTAATACCCGCCCGTGGATGCGATGGGGCTTCACAGCAGTGGTTAAATGAGTACGAAAAGCCTTCTTTCATTTGCTGGCCTGAATGTCAACGGCCTGGGGGATGGGAATAAGCAACAGCGAACAAAGAATTGGTTGGAGCAGGCAGCAGACATCATCATACTGTCTGACTCTAGGCTCACTGATGATCACCCTTAATGGAACTCGCTTAGACAGCCGTAGATCCTGGTCGCTTCACCCACTGCTAAGGCTGGTGGAGTAGCTCTGATCTGTCGGAGGCACGGACTGTCATTGCATAACACCCTCATTCATCCATCTGGTCGGCTGGTAGCAGCTGAAATTCATCTTGACTCCTTTCACATCACCTTGGTTGCGGTCTATTTCCCGGCTGATGCTGCTGAGCGAAAGGCGTTCATCCGCAGAGTGCTGGGCCCGGTGGTTGACACGGTGCAGCCGGGATCTCACCTTCTCATCATGGGGGATTTCAACTTAGTAGAGGACCCGCTGCTAGATAGGACATCGAGGAAGGGAACCACGAAGGAAAACGATGAGTTGTACCGTCGCTGCGACGCCTTCCGTCTCTCGGATGCCTTTAGAGTGCTACATCCATATAAGAGGGGATTTACCTTCTACTCTTGCGCCAATCAGTCCAGTTCGCGTATAGACAGGGCACTTATCTCGCAATCATTGCTGGCGCATGTCGAGTTCGTCTCACATATCATGCCGGCTAACCCCATCTCCGACCACAGTTTCGCAGTGAAGGCGGCCTTCAGGATGAACATGCGGGTGCAGTTGGGTCATGGGCTCTGGAGGCTACCTGCATACATGTTGGACAGGCCGAGGGTCAGAAAGGTGATTGATGCTGTGGAACGGCAGGCAGACTCATGCGGAGAAGGCTTTGAGCTTCTTATCTCCCGTCTCAACACCGCTCTCCGAGCTTACGCGAAAGAGGAGCGGAAGAGAGTTCGGGCCACGATGTCCCACCTTCATCGATCGGTTGCGGAGCTGAAGCAGGCGTGGCTGGGAGACCCGGGGTGTGCTCGGCTGAAAAACTTGCTGGATGAAAGAGAGGCGCAGCTGAAGGGGTATCAGCTGGCACGGCAGGAGAGGTTACACGTAATGGCAGGGATGAAGGAGGAAGTCATGGGTGAAGTGGCATCCCCGCACCTGTCGGCAAAAATCAAGGCCAGAAAGGGACGGACGCAAATTACAGAGTTAAACGCAGGCGGGAAGATGGTGAAAGACAATGGTGCTATCCTGGGGGCAGCGTCACAATACTACAGGGGGCTGTTTGGATGCGACAAACAGCAGGTTGCAACCACTTGGTCTCCTGCTCCCGGAAGGTCTCTATCGCGGAAGTCGGCAGAAGCGGTGTGCATGGCCTGGTCGGAGGAGGAGGTGAAAAAGGCCTTTCGTTCGATGGCGAAGGACAAAGCTCCCGGGAAGGATGGGCTGCCGAAGGAGCTGTTCGAGCTTCACTGGGACAACTTGGGCAAGCATTTCATGCAGCTTGCAGAAAATTTCGCGGCTACAACGGCGCTGCCAACGAGCACAAAGGAAGCAGTTACCATCCTGTTACACAAAAAAGGGGGGAGGGATCAGCTTGAAAACTACAGACCAATCACGCTTTTGAGCTTCACCTACAAAGTAATTGCGAGGGTGGTAGCGGACAAGATGAAAAAAGTGCTGCACGAGGTCATTTCCCTGGAGCAGTATGGTTTCTTGCCTGGCAGAAGGTTATCGGACGCGGTGGGCTTGGTCGCGGATGTCATCGAAGTCGCGAAGAATAAAGACCGTGACTGGTACCTCCTGCTGGTCGACTTCAGGAAAGCTTTCGACTCAGTCTCGAGGGACTTCCTGTTCATGGTGCTTGAGAGGATGGGTTTTCCGAGCCTTTTCGTGGACTGGGTTCGGGGCCTGCACAAGGATACACGGACCTGCTTGTTAATCAACGGCTGGATGGGGGAAGCGGTTGACGTGGTGTCCGGAGTGCGGCAGGGTTGTCCACTCGCACCATACCTCTTTCTGTGCGCGGTGGAACCGCTGGCTCAACAAGCGGCTACTAGGAACCTTGGCCTCGAAGGGGGAAATCAGCGGCTGGTGTATCTGGGATATGCCGACGACACGACCTTGGTCCTGCAAGGGGAAGAGCAGATTGCGGAAGCGGAGCGGCTGTTAGCGGACTTCAAAGCAGAGTCGGGATTAGCAACAAATAAAGAGAAGTCATCAATTCTACCTGTGGGGCGAAACCTGAACAAGCAGGCCTGCAAGACGGATGGTTTCAAGTGGGTAAAGGCAGACGAAGCGGAGAGACTCCTGGGAGTGTGGGTGACGCTAGCTGGCAGCTGCACCCCCACCTGGGAGAAATCTTTCGCACGGATCAAGGAAAAACTGAGACAATGGGAGACGCAGCATCTCATGACGGGAGCCAGGGTAGCGGTAATCAACTGCTATATCTCACCCATAATTTTCTTCCAGGCGCAGGTGTACCCGCCGCTGGTGGACATTTGGGGGAGAATTTTAAAGTTGGCGCACAACTTTGTATCAGGCAACCATGCGGTCACTGACAAAAAAATCATACTGTGGAGTCGGGAGCTCCTGTACATGGCAAGAGTGGACGGTGGTGTGGGGGTGAGAGATCCAGAAATAGAGCTCACCTGCCTCGCAGCCAGACGCATCGGGCTGCTGCTCACGGAGACATGTGAACTGAAGCGGGACATCATGCTGGAAGCGGCTGACCTGCCGTTGGGGACGGACACCTTCGTCGCTCATGTGAAGCTTTTGAAGTGTTGTCGTGGGAAAGGTGAGAGGTGGAAGCTGGTCTGCGGGAGCTTTATGCAGTCGCCGCTGGTAGAGTCATTACCGGACCTGACGAGGGAAGAAACCGAAGCGGGGCGGACTGTTTTCAATCGCAACATCCTGCTCAACGGCAAGACACCGGTGGGGGGCCAGAAGGCTGCGGCGAAGCTGTGCGAGCTTCGATTGGGCGATCTGTTGCTACCGAACGGCGCGGGGGGGCGAAAAGTCAAGGATGTGAAAACCCTGGCACTAGAGTTAGGGGGCTCTAAACAAGCGAAGCTGGTACTATGGGTTTGGGAAGTTGTGCCGCAGACCAGGAAGGAGAGCCTACTGCCTGCCAAGCTTCCGCAGCTGACATCTCCGCCCGCAGCTCCTCGTCTTCTGAAATCGGCACTGTTCCAGGATGGGCAGGTGGTGTCGTTGAAGGAGCTGAGGCACCAGTCTGCCAAGAGGGAGCTTTGGGCGGGCAGATGGGCTGGTGAAATTGACTGGAAGAAAGTGATTAAGGTTCGGGACTCACTGGTGACACCGAACAGGCCGCGGGACGTGCTGCTTAGGATTCACAGCCTCAACCTGCAATTGGGGGAGAGGCTCTCTTTCCTAAGCGGCAAACCGGTGTGCCCACACTGTGGGGAATTCGAAACAATGGAACATTGCCTCTTCAGCTGCCCGCGCATCCAGCAAGTGGTGGTGGCAGTCAGGCGGGCCTTGCGTATACTGAACCCAGCGAGACATATGTCGGAGTTGGGGGACCTGCTGTTCGGGAAAGCGGCCTCCGCCTCAGCGTTCCCTGAAGCATCTCTTTCCGCCATTGCGATACATCAGATCTGGGTGGAGCGGTGTGACTGTGTGTTTCGGGGGAAACGATTCCGGGCTCGGCGCGTCCTAAAGCGTATTGAGGCAGCCTTTCGGTTGCATGTGAGGGTGTACACGCGTGCTATGGGGAAGAAACTAGGTAAATGCGCCGGTTTGAAGAGACACGGCAAATCACACGCGCTGGCAAAACAGGAGGACAACTTGCTTGGACGCATCCGTTGTCCGACGGCGAAAGGTTGGAAGTGGACGCACAGTTTTGGCGCGCTTTGGAGCCTTGCAAGGGGGGCTTTGCAGCCGCCTTAGAAGCCTCGCATGGGGCCACCACTGAGGGCTGGCCTCTCACGCTCAGTTACGACTGACATATATCTCTTATACGCTTGCCCTTCCGGTGTATTCTGATATATTCATAATGAAAAAAAAATCAAACATACTGTACACCTCTTAGCTAAAACACGGCAGTGAAGGGCGTCATACGCAGGGATTTGTGTGGTGTAGGTCACAGCCAGACCTGTCGTTTCGTTTTGGCCCCCCCGGACAAATCAGGGGGCCCGGCATGTATGACCCTGTATTTAGCAGGGTTGGGGCGAATCTCGGCCCTTTAGGCTTCAGGGCTGGAAAAATTTCCTCCCTTGAATCAGGTTTGGCGCGAAAAAATCGGGAGCCTCATATCAACTACCAAGCTTACAACTACGTTTGAGATGAACCACAAGCAAGCGAACACGACATAAAGAGAAACAAGATGGGGAAATACACTTTGCAGATCCGATGATCGTCTGCACTTCTACTACCCAACCTTCAGGGTAGTTCTTGTGCACTTCTTCCCAACCTTAACCGTCTACCCACTCCACAGAGAGCGAGCTGTGATTGGTTTAAGCACAAGTTCTAGGTTGAGTTGAATTTGTGGCCCAACTAAGCATCTCGAAATTTGCCTTGTTGGATGCAATCAGGTTAGAAACGAAGGGGAGAGGAGAGGGAGGAGTGTTGGGGGGTGGGGGGAGGGGAGGGGAGGGGAAGGGGGGTCTCGAAAGATTTTGTTCCAGGGGTCGCCTAAAATCTACCCTTTACACACCGGGCCTGAGCCCAAAATCAGCCCTGCAAAGAATCAGGGCCAGAATATTTCCAACCCATCAATTTCAGTTTTCAAGGGCAACCCAGCCCTGGAATTCAAGGTCCAGCAGGGCAAACGCCCTGCAAGCGACAGCCCTGGTCACAGCACATGCACACCTTTACGTACGTACGTATCATGTCAGATCAGGAGTGGAAGGCACTCCTTATCTCCACCCTTTCGGTCCCAAAGATTCCCGTCCTTTCCGCCACTTCCGTCATTTCCGCCATCACCGCCTTTCCTCCTTTCCGCCCTCTTGAAGTCACTCAAGCCAGCAGCAACCCTAATTAGTACTGTAGCAGTGCCGTTTTGTCGCATTTGCTACATTTCACATGGTTGGCGACGTGTTAGATGCCATGCCACTCATTCGCACCACTCAACAAAATTCACAACGCCTCAGACTATGCCCAAATTTCGGTTTTCCTCGTGTGTGCGCACTAACCATTGCACGAGCAATGGCTACGGTAACTTCAAACAGTGCTTCGGAGGGTGAGCATTGCTCGACATGTGCTGAAAGAGTGGAATACAATGTCCCCCCTTTCCCATTGTCTCTACAGCTGCTAGCAGTTCCGCATCGAAGGAGCCCCGCACGTGCCAATTTGGTTTGGTACAGTGAATTTGCTTCGGTTGCGTTGGATGCACAGTGGTGTCGAACCTGCATGAATGAGATAACTGACTTCGCGTTTGAATGAACGGAATTTTTAAGCCGTTTTAACAAAGCAGGCTATAGCGACTTTGAATCAGATAAGGTGCTGCTGACGCGTCAGAAAGCAGCGTCACTTCTGAAGGTGCGCTGTCACAATCAGATGTGACAGCGGGGATGTGGTTTGGGCAAGGGTGGCGAATTTAAACACAAATGGCGTAGGGTTTCCATATCGCCGAATTCGTCAAGCTGCCAGGCAACCAAGGTACTGTAGTAGGATGTTTCGAGACACACCATTTCGTGCTTTCGCCAATCCTCACTGCTACCTTCTGTTTTGGGAGATACTCCTCTCCCCCTCCTTCAAACTCCGTCCAGAACTCGCCACCTCTTCATTTTCACGTCTTGGAAATTTCGCCTACCGTTTTATTCACTCACTCAGTCGCTTCTCTTCTCTGGCTGTTCCTAAATATTCGACTCTGCCTGCGCGTTCTAAATATTTGTCTCGTACTGTTCTTGCATCCTCCCTCTTGCAGGCTATTGAAAGACTGCTGTGGCGGACGGTTCTGCTTTTTAGTTTGACTCGCCGTATGAAGCTGGCGATTAGACACCTTGTCACGCCCCACGCCCACTTGTAGATAAATGAATAGCTCAGGTGAGTTCTGGATTCTCCTAAAAACGCCTTGTCTACTGCGCTTGTGAGTAGTTGTTTCTTTGCAGAATACCAGCGCTTGTGACAACGCTCTATTTCCGAGACTTCCGTGATTATCGCCACGAGATTTATTTTCAAGCTGACATTTTCCAGAAGTTTTTTCGCCATCTTATCGCCAAGCAAATCACGGTTCTTCTCACACTGCAGTTACCTTCATCACAAGGGCATGACTGATCGGTAGGTTCATGTCTTTTACGTTTGCTGTGTTGACCTTAATTTGCAGCGTGTGCTACTGTGTGCAGAACCTTTGTCCTGCTTGCAATAAGATACTGTATCATTATTGCATGATCATTTTGATGTGTGGATGTTGTAGGATGTTGGGATATGTAATTGGTAAGGCTGTCCAATGATTGTAAATATGTTTGTCAGTGAGGTATGGTAGGACTTGAAATATAAGATCTACGTGTAGTTACATTCCTCAGCAAATAACAATTAGTGTGTCACGATTTTAAGGTTTCATTATTGCCCACCCATTTTCAATTTCTTTACGTTTTTTCTGTAGTTTAGGATTGTCTGAGTGTACTGTGGTTCTTTAATCCGTTATAAAGGGCTCCTAAATGATTTATTCCGGTTGCTGTAGTGAGGATGAGCAATGCTTGTCGTATGCTCTCGCATTGCTTGCCGAACCTGATTGAACATTGCTCATGCACACCTTCCAATGATTCTTTGAAGAAACCTCGACTGGTGAGCATTCCTCTAGATAAACCAACAACATTGTTACCCGGAAAGTACTTTTAACATTGCCGAAGCATTCTATGAACAATGTTTTGGCAGTTTGAATTTTGTTGAGCAGCTGGCGTCTACTGTTCGGGGAACTGACAAGTCTTCCGAACCATGTCCTTTCACACGTCACCCCATTCCAGCTGGCGGCAGCAGCCTTATCTCTTCGTTGTGTACTGATAACGTTAGAATTGCACTGTGGTTACTCGTGGATAGACGACAGGAACGAGTCATGCCAAAGGACCGAATGTAATGGGGAGGAAAGGTAGAGTAGGGAGGGGGTTTTCTTCGCTAAACATGGCGCCGCTTAGTGGGAGCACTGTTACGAGCTCTGCCAGTCTCAACGAGCATGCGAAGGGAACCCCGATGAGAGTTCGGATGGAAGTGTGTAAGGCTAAGAGCGTGTCCGAAGTGAAACGTCGATGGATGTCGTTGGATGTCGGTAAATGTCAACCCTCGGATCGAGAGTTTCATTCGTTAAGATTTACCGACATCCTCAAACCGGATGTCGACGGATGTCGACGTTCACTTTGGACACCCCCTGATGGGGGTTTAAACTGACCGTCGACAACGTCGACGGAATGTCGTTAGAATCAAACGCGGAGAGGGAACGGACGAAACGGGCGGATGAGATCTCCTCGCTAGAAGCCCATGGAGTGGCCCGAATGCAAGTCCACCTCATTCTCGAAGCTGCATTTTACGGTCGGAACGGAACGATAACGACGTGAAATTCTTCTTGCTTCCGTCCATTTCCGCCTGTCAGATGGACGGCGGCAGTGGTTACTAAGGGGAGGCAAGTCGGCCAACCCCTGTCAGATGGACGGCGGACGTCAAAACGGGCCGTTTGCGAGATCATCACACGCAACTGCCTGCATCTGCGAGACACGTATTCCCGCCCTCATGACAGAGCAGCCGCTTTGGCTCGGCAGCATAGCGCCCTCCGACAGGCTGGCGTGTTTGTCTGTTTGTCCCTTCTACGGACGGAATCTAGAGACGAAAACGCGTCTTGTCCGATGAACAGAGTAGGTCAAAACAACTGTGGGCCGATGTGCAGTGCTGCACAGTGCAGCACTGTAGATCATGCTCTGCACTGGTGTGTCTTGTCGGCCCTTGTGCCACAAAGAAAGTCCTCCAGCCCGCTTCTGTTTCCGCCTTCTAGGTTCTTCCATGATCCGACCACTCGACGAGTGCTGTGGTGATAGTAGCAGCAGCTACGATACGTTTCAAACGCACCCATTCCCCCGCATTGCGTCTAGCGAGTCGTTACTAATCACTGCTGCGCCCTGCTGTAAGCTCCAGTCAAGCGCGCATCTTTCAGACCGCTTGAATCTAACCCCCTCGCCCGTGTTTCCTGCTAAATTATGGCGGCAGAGACGACAGAAACGCCACTGGGAGAGCTCTTCAACAGCTCCGCATTTGGCGGCGCCGATGGCGGCGCCGGTAGCGTCCGGGGCGCCGCTGACCCTGTCCCCGCGCGGCGCGCTGCGAGTTCCCGGTGTAAAAAGGACCTCGAATCGCAGCGGAAGCGCGGGTCGTGGACGGCGGCGGAAGACGCGGAGCTGCGCGCTTACGTGGCAAAGTACGGCGTGGGGAATTGGAAGCACGTGGCGGATGCGGCGCCGGCGTTGAAACGCGATGCGCAGAGCTGCCGTCTGCGGTGGTCCAGCTACCTAGATCCTAAGGTACCCCGCGTCGCAGCGCTTCGGCTGAGAGCGACAATGGGGGAGGGTGGATGTGAGGGGGGGAAGGTGACGGGGGAGAGGGGGGTGGGGAAGGGAGAGTAGTAGGTGGGGGAATCATTCCCATGATGGGAGGGGGAAATATATTGCGGGGAAGGGACAGACCTCTCGCGGGAAGGGGGGGAAATGGACGGGGAGGCGGGTGGTATATGCGGACCATCTTCCGCCCCTTCCGGCTCTTCCTCCCCCCGGGGCCATTTTCACCCTTCCCCGCCTACCCTCCTTCCCCCGGGCCATCTTCCCCCCTCCTCCCCCCTCTCCCGCAATGCAGTCAACCGCGCACACGTTTGAAAGCTCATCCCATTTTCCTCTTCCTCCCTTCCTCCCCTCCCCACTCAACCCCTTCGTCGCGTTCCGCCCCTCACCCCACCCCGCCACCCCCCTCCCCTGCTATATTTTTTTCCCCATCTCCCCTTTCCTTCCCCCAAGGCAGGTCAGCCGCGCGCCCTTCATTTTAAAGAAAGGCGCGCTGCTTATTGCGAGCGTTGCGTGGGGCTCCCTTCTCAGTCCAACCCCCCACCCGCCTTCCCCCCTCCCCTCCCCCCCTCCCCGTTCCCCTCCCCCCTCCCCCCACAATGCAGGTCAACCGCACGCCGTTTACCCCAGATGAAGATGCTCTGCTGCTAGCTAGTGTTGCGTGGGGCTCCCACGGCGAAACCAAGTGGGCCGCGATCGCCTCGGCGAAATTCCCCTCGCGAACTGGTTACCAGATTCAGAGCCGCTGGCACAGCCTGGTCAACAAGCAACGCCGGAGGTTCGACCAACTCGTTACCACCTCAAAGGGGGAACAACGTCCCCCCTCCCTTGAAGGCGCAGGCGCGAATGGGGGAGAACCCTGCCCCCCGGATCCAGAGGCGCGGACGGGCGGGGGCGGGGAGGGTTACCACATTGAGAGCCTCGTGAACAAGCAACGCCGGAGGCTCGACCAACTCGTTACCACCTCAAAGGGAGAACAACTTCCCCCCTCCCTTGAAGGCGCGGGCGCGAATGAGGGAGAACTCTCCCTGCCAGATGCAGAGGCGCGGACGAGCGGGGGCGGGGAGGGGGGCGGGGGTGGGGGCGGGGAGGGTTACCAGATTGACAGCCTCGTGAACAAGCAACGCCGGAGGTTCGACCAACTCGTTACCACCCCAAACGGAAGGCCAGCGGGAAACACTACTATCACCACTACCACTGTCAACCCGTCTGTTGCCGTGCGGGAGCAGTCAGCAGGAAACACTACTATTACCACTACCACTGTCAACCCGTCTATCGCTGTGCGGGAGCAGTCGGCAAGAAACAGCGCAGCAGATGCTATTGTGACAGGCACGGACGGGAAGGAAATTCTCTTTTTGCTTGAAGGTGTTTTAGAAAGGTCGGATTCGACACGCGGGAGGCGAATCTTTGAGGCGCCACAAAATTCCTCTTTTGAGGCGCCTCTAGAAAGGTCAGAATGGGCAAGCGGGAGGCGATTTTGGAGCAGAGGAGAGAGCGTGAGCGGACTCAATGGGGAGGTTGGTGTTGGCGCTGCTAATATCCCGGTGACTGTGAATAAACCAGGTGCTACTGCCTCAGGTGCTGTCTCAGGTGCTGGCTCAGGTGCTGGCTCAGTTGCTGTTTCAGGTGCTGGCTCAGGTGCCCTCTATGGCGTTGCCTCAGGTGCTATCTCTGGTGCTGCTTCAGGAGGTTCTTTAGCTGTCGTTGCAGGTGGTGCCTCAGGTGCTACCGCAGGTGGTTTCCCAGGTGGTTCCCCAGGTGTTTCTACTCCATCTGCCGGTGCAGCCTCTGCTGACCCCTCAGCTGTTGCTGCGTTCATCCTGACCCTCCAATCCGCAATCAACGGCCGCCCTCAACCATCCACTAGCGCCGCCATCCGTCACCTTTCCACCCTCCATTCAAGCCTCTCCTCCTCCCCTGCACGTGCTTCCCCTGCTGCTGCCGCTGCTGCTGCTCCTGCTGCCCCTGCTGCTGCTACAGCCCCTGCTGCTGCTGCTCCTGCTGCCCCTTCTGCTGCTACAGCCCCTGCTGCTGCTGCTCCTGCTGCCCCTTCTGCTGCTACAGCCCCTGCTGCTGCTGCTCCTGCTGCCCCTTCTGCTGCTACAGCCCCTGCTGCTGCTGCTCCTGCTGCCCCTTCTGCTGCTACAGCCCCTGCTGCTGCTGCTCCTGCTGCCCCTTCTGCTGCTACAGCCCCTGCTGCTGCTGCTCCTGCTGCCCCTTCTGCTGCTACAGCCCCTGCTGCTGCTACAGCCCCTACTGCTGCTGCTTCTGCTACTGCTGCTTCAGCCCCTGATGCTGCTGCTTCAGCCCCTGCTACTGCTGCAACTGCTACTCCCTCGACTGTTCCTGCGTTCATCCAGACCCTCCAATCTGCAATCAACGGCCTCCCTCAAACCCCGTACTCAGGCATCCAATCAGCTTCCCTTGCTTCTTCTGCTACAGCCCCTGTCGGTGCCACCCCTACTGCTGCTACTCCCTCAACCGTTGCTGCATCCATCCAGACCCTTCAATCCGCAATCAACGGCCTTCCTCAAACCTCGTACTCAGGCATTTGCTCTGAACCATCCACCTCTGCTCGCGCTTCTGCTGCTACTCCCTCAACTGTCGCTGCGTTCATCCAGGCCCTCCAATCCGCAACCAACGGCCGTGATCATTTCTCCAATTCGACAACCACCCTTCCGTATCCCACCACTCATGTGATTACACCCGTCCGCCATTCCACGACCCTTCGGAAAGCCACCCAACCGAATTCAACCGTTTCTAGATGTGCCTCAGTGCAACTCCTGGGCTCCAGTCTGGATTGCAGCACCGATTTAAAACGACCCAACACCGCTCTGCTACCTCCCATCACCGCTCTGTTACCACCCAGCACCGCTCTGCCTCGACCGAACACTGCACCAGCAGCAGCAGAGCTTCCTCTCTTCCCAGTTTTTTCCAGCAGGGAAAGTGACTTCAAGCCACCGGCTTCTGGCCTTAATCTATCCCTTTCCCTCCAGCCCCCTACTCATGCTTTCAACGCACGTGCCCCAACTGTTTCTGCTGCTGTTCCCGCTGCTGCTGCAGCAGCTTCTGATGGTGACGCCACTACCACTACCCGTCCTGCTGCGGCTGCTGCTGCTGGCGCCTCTGCTGCTGCTGATAAGCCAGGGGCATCAGTGAGTTATGAGCTGAACAGAAATACTTTTGAGACGTCTCAAAAGGCATCAGTGAGTTATGAGCTGAACAGAAACATTCTGGGAGGAGTGAAAGCTACTCCTTGCTCAGTTAAAGGGGCAGACATGCTGTTACGATCCGGGAGCGGCAATGGGTGGATAATGAAGCGTGCTTATAGCGAGGCTTTTGAGCCGGAGGCTGCTGAAGCCGACGCTGCTGATCCCAATGCTGCTGACGTGGCACAAGAATTGCTGAAAAGCAGGGTACGGCATGGGGCCGGTTTAGCCGAAGAGTGTGGAGAGGAGGCATATGGATGTGACAGGAGGCTTGCCAAGCGAGTGAGGACAGAAGCAGAGAGCGTGACCGCCTTGAAGACGCCTCAAGTATCGTCTCGAGAGGTGCTGCAAGGCATGCTGAAAAGCGAGGTGACAAATGGATGGGCCCTCCCTGCAATCCCTACCATCCCTGCCATCCCGCGCTCAAGTAGCGGCGGGAGCAGCCCATGCTGTAAAGCTCCTCAGCAGAGCACCGCTCTTTTATCGCCCCAGCCATCATACTTCCCCACTGCCGCTGCTGCTATCCCTGCCATCCCTACCATCCCTGCCATCCCGCGCTCAAGTAGCGGGGGGAGTAGCACGTGCAGCAATGCAGTGCCATGTGGGGGTGAGGAGAAGGAATGGAATGGAATGCAGATGCAGGGTGTTGAGGGGGGGGATTTGCTGGAACAGCGGAGGAGGCAGGATGGTCAGTGTCTTCCTGCTGACCCTATCGTTTCGAAAGGATTGCAGCTGCAGATGCAGGGTGTTGAGGGGGGGGTTTTGCTGGAACAGCAGAGGAGGCAGCAGCAAGCCCAGGAGGTTCAGTGGGAGAGAGAAAAGAAGCTGCTGCTCTGTGGGAAGCAGCAGAGGAGCGAAGGGAGGGAGGAGGGGGAGGGGAGAGAGGGTGGGAGAGAACAGAGACATTATCAGCAGCAGCGACAGCAGCAGCACCAGCATCATCAACAACAACAGCGGCAGCAGCAGCAGCAGCTGCACCAGCAGTTGGCTCTGCATGTGATTGCAGGGTTGCTGCTGAAACATGGATGAAACATAGGGCTTGGTGTGGCAGTACCAGCACCATGAACAGCAACAGAAGCAGGAGCACGAGGCGCAGCAGCAGCAGCCACTGTACCAGCAGTTGGCTCTGCATGTGATTGCAGGTCTGCTGATGAAACATGGATGAAGCATGGGTCTTGGTGTGGCAGTACCAGCACCATGAACAGCATCAGAAGCAGCTGTAGCACAAGACGCAGTAGCAGCACGTGCCGCAGCAGCAGCAGCAGCACGAGCCGCAGCTTTACCATTCCTAAGTTGACAATGGTTTTGTGTACAAATACCACTGTCCTTATATGGCATGCTGAAATATGGATAGGTAGTGTAGAATCAGTAGGTTGAGTGCTTAGCTCGAGTTGCTCTGTTCATGGCAGATCGTTCTGTTTCCTCGTTTTCTGATACGGAATTCAGTGAGTATGGATGTGAATATACAATACTATGTTTCAGAAACATTCACCTTGTTATGTTGCAATTCTCCATTGTACGAACTGTTCTGAAATAAATATGAAACACTCTGCTTTGAAGTGATGTAAGTCGGTCAAGTAGTTACGAATAAGCTTGGGAGATGCCGAAGCCGAACAACAAACGTAGAACAGAAGCGAGAAGTTTAGGTTCGGTGGAAGGGTAGGTTCGGTGGTTCGGTTTCGAGCCTTTAGTGATGTCTGGGAACAAGCGTCCCCTGAGGCGAAATCACGCGCATCGGCGAAAATCGCGTTTCTCTCAATTGAATCGACCCGAATTGCTCCCCCCTCGCCACGTGGGCGTTTTTCTTAATTGGCTGGACCGCCTTTCCCCCCGCCCCCCCAACCCGATGTTCCCGCCCTTCCCCACCGAAATTCGGGCAGCCGTGTGTACTCGCGTGAAATCACAAACAGTCACGATTACAATCTAACCACAACATGCGACAGTGTCCAGGTACTTGTGGCATGCCGCATCACCTTTCCAACAGATTCTCGATTTTGTTTTATGTTTTTAAATATTGTTATATTAAGCTTTTTTCACGAAACATCTAAAATCGCTCTAGATCTAAGTTTTACTAACATTTTTCTCACAGAAACCCATAGGCAGATTTAGATTAACCATTTTAAACTAGGTAAAGATTATGTTTTACTATATTGATCTGTAGTTTCTAGAATGTAAATATTACCCTGCAATTACCAAGTTTGTAAAAAAACAGAAATGATCATGTAGTAACATACAATTAACAAAACCCATATTACTGCTTAAAATATCATTCACAATCAATTGTGTTTAGGTGTTATGCTCAAGCTATAAATAATCACAGAATGAATCACAATTTTACTACTGGTGATATATTCTATGACAATGAGAAATTAAAAAACCGTACTACGTTAAATTTTACTGTGCGTTCCCCAACGCCTCCTCGCACAGCCGACCGTGCACGTTGCTGCGATCAGAAGCTGATCGCCACCCAGGATCTACCCAGGAAGGTTCGCACGCAGGAAAGTAGTGTTGGTGGGCCCTTGACCTCAATAGCAGAGTGAATGTAAAATGCGTTGAGATGAAATAAAACATGCACATACAGGAAATATAAATATGAGTACAGGGAAGACGAAACGACCTAGCTAGCCATGTACTCTAAGGGGTACATTCCCTTATTCAAATACATTCCCAACCGTGCGGCGCGTACAGTTTCGTAACTGTTCCCGTCGAAAACATCCTGCCTGCAGCTGCCCGATGCCATCTGCTCCGACGGTCTAGATGTGCTGTAACCGTCCGACGCTTCGATTCGATCCCAACCGTCTGACGCTTCGTGTTCATTCCCGATACTGCGTGCTTCTCTTTGCTGCGGTAAGGAGTGCACAGTAATATCAAATATTACTATTCGTAACACACGTCATTCAACATTGAAGAAACAAAACGCACTGCATGCATGTGATTTTGGCGCGCAAAATAAATCACCAGTGTTATGTCAATTTAGATGTCGCTCGCATGTTGAAATCTTAGCGTTACGAAAAAGCATGTATTCGTGACTGTTTGTGATTCCACAAAATTCCAGCGGGTGCCCGAATTTCGGAGTTGAAGGGCGGGAAAAACGGGTTGGGGGGGCGGGGGGAAAGGCGGTCCATTCAATTAAGAAAAACGCCCACGTGGCGAAGTCGGAGCAATTCGGGTCGATTCTTTTGAGAGAAACACGATTTCCGCCGATGCGCGCTATTTCGCCGTCCCCTGATTTTATTTCGGCTGGCTGTGGGACTTTCGGATCCTGAAGTGGCCCAGTGAGTTGGCTGTTGTCACTTCTGATGAGTGAGGTCCCGGGATCAATCCCCTGTACCGACGTATTCTGTCAGCCTCCCAGAAGGGGGTTCGCACGTGCTCACTCTGGGAGTGGATATACCTCAACCTCGTTGACCCAGCGAGTCTAAACAATTGGGGAGGCGGGTTACGACCGACAGCCAGGTGTTGGTAACACCCAGAGGGGTTTCCCCCCCTCCTTTACCCTTTACCCTTTACCCTGTGGGACTTTCGGAAGTTCCAAGAAATTCACACGAATTCAGTAAGAGGTGGGCTCCAGGGAAGCAAGTACACCCTGTTCTCGATAATTTCACACCCCTTAATTTCACACCCCGACTCGGGATCACCAGCAGGGGCTTTGGGTTGCCGAGCTGGCGAACCGTGAAGGATCATTGAGCTGACAACTGCAGAAATGACCGCTATTTATACTGTCCGCAGCCCAGAGAATTGGGGGAGATTGGGGATTCTTCCGGGTCGCATCCAAAGTTTTGTCAATCACAAAGTGTCAATTCTCGTTGCACGGATTTGGGTTGGAAATTTGGGACTGCATTTGCTACAAAGGCATGTTACTTTCAAACCACGCGCATGTGTCGAATTTCCAACCCAATTGTGATTAGGTTTTCGATTTTGGGTGTGGGCACTCAAATTCGAATTTGTGGTCAGGATTACGATAAACACAATCCTGACGTGACTGTTTTTCATTGGACACAAATATTTTTCAAGATCGTCAACACTGAGGAGGGTCATTTCAAGTCATTTTCATTCCCTGCCAGCACAGCTTTACCGCGCCTCGAGAGTGAAATTATCGGGGAGAATATTTGCCCCTTTAATTTCACACCCTCTCGGGAAAAAAACATCGCGGTTCGGGATGAGGGGGTGTGAAATTATCGAGAACAGGGTGTAATCATAACCCTGATTTTGCGCCACCTAGTAAACTTTGTCAAGATTTGAACGGACACTGCCCCAGTTGAAGAACAGTCACCTACATTCGACCCCAATTATCGTGCACCTCTTAGCTAAAAACAGCAGTTAAGGAATTAGGGAAGTTGTACCGGGTCATATAGTTCATTGCTATCACACATCTCTACATGCGAGCAGCACATGCCACCCGTCAGCTCACAACAAGGCACCCGCAGCAGCAGCCAGTTTGATCCCCCCCTCCCGCCCATTCAGTCCCTGGGATTGCCGTCCTTTCCGCCACTTCCGTCACTTCCGCCACTTCCGCACAGCTGGAAGTCGACTGGAGAACCACAAAATTTTCCAAACCATTCCAGTTCACCACAGCACGCCACTTTCCACCATTCCAGGTGGCGGCAGCAGATCCATTCGTTCGTCGCATCATTGCATACTGAAACGCTAGAAATGCCGCAGCAATCCAACGCAGACGTACGTGCCTATGCTCTGGTTGTTGCTTACGAATCGACACGAAACGGGTCATGCCAGACCGACTTTATCCCTCCAGCCTCCCTCCTTTAGGCGACGCCCCTGGAAAAGCGGCTCCATTCCAGTCTCCCTTCTCCAGTCTGGCCGGCATTCTGGTGCAGCGTCGGTGTGAGAGTAGGGAAACTTCAAGATTAGGTCAGAGTAGGGAAACGGAACGGACGCGCGGGATATGATACTGCTAGCAGCCAGGTGGGCGGAATGCAAAGTCCGTCTCCTACAGTTGACGGTTTGGGACGGAAGTCAAGGATGTACAGTAGTACAAAAGGGGGACAAGTCAGCCACCCACTTGTAATCCACGACCAACGGCACTTGCTGGATCATCACACCCCCGCCGCAATTTGAGCTTCGAATCGAAACGCGTCACATTCCCATCCGATGGGAGTCCCACCTACCCACCCACCTATACACCTGGCGCCATGGCTTTTGGTTCGGCCTGCGCTCCGACAGGCTGGTGGAATGGTCTGTTTCCGAATTTTCGGAATTCGGGCACCCGAGAGAACTTTCCTCGGAATTCTCTCAAAGAACAGGCTTTTTCGGAATGAACAGTGGGTCAAAACCACTGTACTGGCCGATGTGTGTGCAGTTCAGTGCAGTGCTGCATCCATGCATGCATAGGCACCATCACGCCTTCAAGACGTCATTACTTGCACTTTACCTTTCCCGCGGCTCTTCTCTTCCTTCCGCTTCTTCCGATGATCCGACGAGTGGCAGTGGTGGTACTAGTAGCTGCAGCTACGATGATACGGTTTCAAGCCTCTCATTCCTGCTGCTGCACAGCCGCACTGCGGATCCCTTACTGACAGTTAGTACTAAACCGCGGAGCTTTCAGGCTGAATCTTCCCCCCCTCGCCCGTGTTTCCCGCTCAAAAGACTCTCTTGGAATGGCGGCAGAGACGACAGGATCGCGGCAGCGGCGACTCTTGAACAGCCCCGCAACTGGCGGCGCTGATAGCGGCGTCCGTGGCGCCGCCAAGGGCGCCGCTGACCCTGTCCCCGCCCGCGCCGCAACTTCCGGCGGGTTGAAAGCAAGGGTCAAATCGTGGAGGAAGCGCGGGGCGTGGACGGCGGCGGAGGACGCGGAGCTGAGCGCTTACGTGGCAAAGTACGGCGCGGGAAACTGGAAGCACGTGGCGGATGCGACGGCGTTGAAACGCGACGCGCAGAGCTGCCGCCTGCGGTGGTCCAGCTGTCTCAACCCTAAGGTACGGGCACCACAACTGCGGGGAGGGGGAGGGGGAGGGGAGGGGAGGGGAGGGGAGGGGAGGGGAGGGGAGGGGAGGGGAGGGGAGGGGAGGGGAGGGGAGGGGAGGGGGAGGGGAGGGGAGGGGAGGGGAGGGGAGGGGAGGGGAGGGGGAGGGGGAGGGGAGTGGGAGGGAAGGGGGAGGGGAGGGGGAGGGGAGGGGGGGAGGGGAGGAGGAAGGTGCGGGGAGGTTTGGGGGGCCAGGGGGGGGGGGGGGGGAGGAAGGTGGTTCTCTGCGGACGCGCAAAGCTTCCATCTACGGTGGTCCAGCAACGGTGGTCGGTGCGCGTCGACTGAGAGCGTCAAGAAAATGGGGTGTGGAAAGGGCGGAAGGGAGGGGGAAGGGGAGAGGAGGGGGAAGGTGTGTGCGGGAGGGGAAGAGGGCACGGAGGGTGGGTATGTGTAGTAAAAGGGAAGAGAGCGGGAAAAGTAGAAGGAACATTCCTCGGAATGCGAGAAATGTAAAGCTTTCCCGTTCTTGAGCTGACAATAGCCCCACCTCCTGCCTCCCTCCGCCCTACTTCCCCCCCTATTCCCCTCTCCCTCCCCCTATCCCGCAATGCAGGGCCACCAAGGGACATTCATGACAGCTCAGCCAATCCCCCTCTCAAACAGCTTCTGGCTGTGCCAAACCCATCCCGATATTTCAGTCGACTCAATATTCCGCCCTTTCCCTGCCTCATCTCCCCAACCCCCCAAATGCAGGTCAACCGCGCGCCATTCACGCCAGAGGAAGACGCAAGACTGCTAGCGAGCGTTGCGTGGGGCTCCCACGGCGAAACCAAGTGGGCAGCAATTGCCTCGGCGAAACTCCCTTCGCGAAATGGTTACCAGATTCAGAGCCGCTGGCACAGCTTAGTGAAGAAGCAGCGCTGGTGGATCAACCCTCCCGCTGGAAGTGGCTCATTGAGGGGGGGACTTCCCCCCAACGGGGAGGGTTATCAGATTCAGAGCCGCTGGCACAGCCTCGTGAACAACCAGCGCCGGTGCCTCAACCCGCCTGCTGGTGGTGGCTGGCCAAGGGGAAAGTCGTCAGCGGGGGGAACCACTTACACTAGTCCTACGTGTTTTGAGTCGACTCTAAACTCAGCAAAGGGGGACAACTACACTAGTACTAGTGTTGGAGCTTCTGTTAACCTGCCCGCTGCCACCACTCGCGGAGGGTCGTGGGCGGCAAACACAACTCCCGCTGCAGATGCGCCGCCCGCTGCCACTACTCGGGGAGGTTCATGGGCGGCAAACACAACTCCCGCTGCAGATGCGCCGCCCGCTGCCGCCTGCAATCGGTCCGCGAGAAAACCCGTCGCTGCTGCGGATTCTCGACCTACCATGACAGGCAGTGGTATGGTAACAGCTGCTACCCCAGGTGCTATCTCGGGTGCTGCCTCAGGTGCTATCTCAGGTGCTGCCTCAGGTGCTACCTCAGGTGTTTTCTCAGGTGGTGCATCAGGTGTTTTCTCAGGTGGTTCCTCGGGTGTTTCGCCAGGTGATTCCCCAGGTGCCGCTGCTCCAATCATCACTGCAGCCTCTGCAGATCCCTCAGCCGTTGCTGCGTTCATCCTGACCCTCCAATCCGCAATCAACGGCCTCCCTCAATCCGCAAGCTCAGGCAAATGTTTAGAACCATCCACCCCTGCGCGTTCTTCCATTGCTGCTGCTGCTGCTGCCCCTGCTGCTGCTACTCCCTCAACCACTGCTGCGTTCATCCAGGCCCTTCTCTGTGCAGGCAACGGCCCTCTTCAAACACCTACTAGCCCTACCACCCGTCTCCTTCCCACCCTCCAATCAGACCCATCCACACGTACGCGTGCTCCCCTTGCTGCTACTGCTGCTGCCACTGCCGCTGCCTCTGCTGCTGCCACTGCTACTCCCTCAGCCATTGCTGCGTTCATCCAGGTCCTTCAATCCGCAATCAACGGCCGTGATCAACCAGCATCAGCATCAGCATCCGCACCAGCATCAGCATCATCAGCATCACCAGCACCAGCATCAGCATTGGAGCTTCCTCTCTTCCCAGTTACCCCTCAATCTACCTGCAGCAAAAGTGATTCCAGCCCGCACCACACCACCGCTCTTCCTCGACCCAACACCGCACCATCACCATCACCAGCACCAGCACCAGCACCAGCACCAGCACCAGCACCAGCACCAGCACCATCACCAGCAGCAGCATCACCAGCAGCAGCATTGGAGCTTCCTCTCTTCCCAGTTACCCCTCAATCCGCCTGCAGCAAAAGCGATTCCGATTCACCGGGTTCTGATTCCAACACCACACCAGCAACAGCATCATCAGCAGCAGCATCACCAGCACCAGCATCACCAGCACCAGCATCAGTATTGGAGCTTCCTCTCTTCCCAGTTACCCCTCAATCTACCTGCAGCAAAAGTGATTCCAGCCCGCACCACACCACCGCTCTTCCTCGACCCAACACCGCACCATCACCATCACCAGCACCAGCACCAGCACCAGCACCAGCACCAGCACCAGCACCAGCACCAGCACCAGCACCATCACCAGCAGCAGCATCACCAGCAGCAGCATTGGAGCTTCCTCTCTTCCCAGTTACCCCTCAATCCGCCTGCAGCAAAAGCGATTCCGATTCACCGGGTTCTGATTCCAACACCACACCAGCAACAGCATCATCAGCAGCAGCATCACCAGCAGCAGCATCACCAGCAGCAGCATCACCAGAAACAGCATCACCAGCATTAGCATCACCAGCAACAGCTTCGGAGCTTCCTCTCTTCCCAGTTACCCCTCAATCTGCCTGCAGCAAAAGCGATTCCGATTCACAAGCTTCCGGCCTTCGTCTCGTCCTTTCCCTGCAACCACCCGCACATGCTTCCAGCACACATGCTGCTGCCTCTGTTACTCCGACAAGGCTTGATGGGGAGAATGCTGATCAGTCAACACTTGGAGGAGCTGACATGCTAGTTCGATCCCACAGCGGCAACGGGTGGATAATGAAGCGTGCTTATAGCGAGGCTTTTGGGCCTGAGGCTGCTGAAGTTGACACCGCTGAACCCCATGCTGCTGACGTGGCCCATGACATGGCACAGCAAGAGGGCATGGAACAGAGTATGGCACAGTATGGGGCTGGTATAACTGAACACAGTGAGGCAGCATATGGATGTGTTGAGCGCTCTGCAAAGCGGTTGAGGGCTGAAGCAGAGAGATTGACCGGTTTCAAGACGCCTCAAGGGCCTTCTCAAGACATGCTGCAAGGGATGCTGAAAAGCGTGGCACCGGGCATGACACAAGCCACAGCACGGCATGGGGTTAGTGGCATTTCCGAACGCATTGATGGATGTGCCATGTATGGATGTGCCATTCCTACCGCCCCTGGCATCCCACGCCCAAGCAGCGGGGGCAGCAGCACGTGCAGCAATGCAGTGGCATGTGCAGGAAGGGGTGGGGTGACATCTGGCATGTGCGATGGGCTGCAGATGATGCAGTTGCAGGGAGAGGTTGGGGCTTTGCTGGAACAGCAGAGGAGGCAGCAGCAGGCTCAGGAGGTTCAGTGGGAGAGAGAAAAGAAGTTGCTGCTCTGTGTGCGGCAGGGGAGAGGAGACGGGAGAGAGGAGGGGGGAAAGGAGAAGAGACAGCAGAGACAGCATCAGCAGCAGCATCAGGAGCATCATGAACGAGAGCAGCAGCCACTGTACCAGCAATTGGCTGTGCATGTGCTTGCAGGTCTGCTGATGAAACATGGCTGAAGCACAGAGCTAGGTGTTGCAGTACCAGCACCATCAACAGCAACAGAAGCAGCAGCACGAGCCGCAGCAGCAGCTTTACCATTCCTAAGTTGACAATAGTTTTGTACCAAATACCACCATCCTAAGATGGCTTGCTGAAATTTGGATAAATAGTGTAGAATTTGTGTCAATCCTTCCTGTTGGTTGAGTTGCTTCGTTTGAGTTGCTCTCCATGTCAAACCTTTCTGTGGTAGTGATTGTGAGTGCAATACTTCCTCTTGTGCCATTATGGAGGTGAATGTACAATGCTATGTTTCATGACATTTATCTTACTATGTGGTAATTTCCCACCATATTAGGTCTACATCTGATGATCCCAATTTTAAAATTTGTTTTGGTAGGGGCCGCGCGAACGCGAGCCCCCTCTGCCACAAATTATGACGTGCATCACCGGGAGTTCCGGCGTGCTAGGTACAGGGCCGGCCGAAGTGCAATGGCGGGTCCGCCCCTAGGCCATCGGCCTTCTTGATCACCGATTGACCCCGCCCAGGTAAGTATACATTACTCGTAACGAAGTTTGGTTTATGAGGCGCCGAAGTGATTTTGTACATTCGTATGTTGTGGGTAGCGTCTACCACGTGTCGTTTCGAGATGGTTGGTTCGGGACTCGAGAAGCTGGTTTGTCTGGGGACCTCGCACCTCGTTATCCAGGAGACGCGGGTTCGATCCCTGCAACAGTCAATATTCCTCACTTGGAACTTCGTACTTCACGCCACTTGGTATCCAGTGCTTTCACCTGCTCGTCAATTCTAAGCGGAATGCATATCTCGCGAGTGCATTTAACGCGTTCGCATCTTTAAAGAATCTCCGTCGCGACTAGCTTTAGAACGGATCTAGCCAACGCAGTCCGCAACTGTAGCTCTAAGAACCTAACCGCCCAATCCGGTTGTGCGTTAACGATTCAAAAGCAGAATCAACAGCGACAACTTTCGCCCGCGTTTCGCGTTGTTACTCCTCCGCTTTCCCCTTTCGCGGAGCACGCGCGGAGCATTTTCAGTCTCTCTGCTGGATCGCGGACAGCGGTGAGACCGGCGGAAACAGAGGCAGGGGCGGGGTTGGCGGAAACGGCGGAAGGGGCGGGAATGGCGGAAGCGGGGCCGACGGGGATGGCGGAAACAATGGCGACAGGGGCGGGAATGGCGGAAGCGGCGGCGACGGGGGCAGCAGCTCCTTCCGCGGGGGTCAGCACGATTGGTCCAGCAGAGGCATCGTCAGCCGTCGATTTCTTGATGATGATCCAGCCGCTAAAGGTCCGGCGATCCGACGGTACAGAGGCTAGATTCACCTAATCAGCGCATACCTGTGTTTGAGATCTGTGAACAGTCAAAACAGTTCGGGAAAGTACGATTGCTTGTAACCGTTATCAGAATTCTCAAAAGCGAGACAATCATCAGAACGAGCGCGTACCTTTGCCCGCGCCCCTCCAGGAGAGCGATCGATTGCGAGGCGGTTTGCGCGCGTGGCGTGTGGAGGGAGATTTTTGCGGCACGTATTTCTGAGTCGATAGTCAACAAGCTTTTGAGTCACTCAAAAACGCCGCCATCTGATGAGTCGGTTTTTGAGTCGACTCAAAAACCGACTCATCACACGCGTATTTTTTAGACGATAGTCAACATGCTTTCAAGTCACTCAAAAAACGCCGCCATCTCCCTCTCAAAAACAGGGACGGTTTGCGCGCGTGGCGTGTGGAGGGAGATTATCGAAGCACGTATTTCTCAGTCGATAGTCAACATGCTCATGGGGCCATGCGTGATTTTTGAGGCGCCTCAAAAATCGTCTCATGGGGCCATGCGTGATTTTTGAGGCGCCTCAAAAATCGTCTCATGGGGCCATGCGTGATTTTTGAGGCACCTCAAAAATCGTCTCATGGGGCCATGCGTGCCCGCCCCCCCCCCCCCCCCCCCCCCCCCCCACTTCCCTGCCTCTCTCGTTTTGAGGCGCCTCAAAACTGAGACGATAGTCAACATGCTCATGGGGCCATGTGTGCCCGCCCCCCCCCACTTCTCTGCCTCTCTCCTCGCCTCCCTTCCCTCCCTGTTCCTCCCTAAACCCTGTCTCTTCAGACCCTGAAGCGCAAGGGGTGGGTGGGTGAATCGGCGAGCATTCTTCTTTCCCAACACATTCTCCACTCCCCACCGCTCCCTTCCCCTCCCCCCATTGCCGCCCCAACTCCCCACACTCTCAGACATTAAAGGGGAGGGGATGGGTGAAGCGGGGAGTGCAGGGGCCAGAGTCGATTGAAGATCGTTCCTCTTTCCCAGCCCCTTCCCCACTCCCCACCCTCCCCTGTCCCCCCATTGCCCCCCAACTCCCCACACTCTCAGACATTAAAGGGGAGGGGATGGGTGAAGCGGGGAGTGCAGGGGCCAGAGTGGATTGAAGGTCGTTCCTCTTTACCCTTTTGAGGCGCCTCAAAAGTAGGCAAGCAAACCTTATTTCCAACTCTTTCCCCACTCCCCACCCCTCCCTTTCCCCCCATTGCCCAACCCCCACAATCTCAGACGTTGAAACGGACAGGGTGGGTGAAGCGGGGAGTGCAGGGCCCAGAGTCGATCGGCGACCACATGCACCGCATGGCGCTCATGGCGTTCGTGTTGTCTGGTGTTGAAAGAATCGACAGGGAGAGGTAAGTGCTGGGTAGTGAGGGGTGTGTGAGAGGGAGATGAGGGTCAGGGGTTAAGGGGAGCTGGTGGACAGGCGACCATATGCACCGCATGGCTCTGATGGGGTAGTGAGGGGTGTGTCGAAAGGAGGTGAGGGTTGCAGGATTTGGGAGGTGCAGGGCCCAGAGTCTATTGGCGACCACATGCACCGCATGGCGCTCATGGCGTTCGTGTTGTCTGGTGTTGAAAGAATCGACAGGGAGAGGTAAGTGCTGGGTAGTGAGGGGTGTGTGAGAGGGAGATGAGGGTCAGGGGTTAAGGGGAGCTGGTGGACAGGCGACCACATGCACCGCATGGCTCTGATGGGGTAGTGAGGGGTGTGTCGAAAGGAGGTGAGGGTTGCAGGATTTGGGAGGTGCAGGGCCCAGAGTCTATTGGCGACCACATGCACCGCATGGCGCTCATGGCGTTCGTGTTGTCTGGTGTTGAAAGAATCGACAGGGAGAGGTAAGTGCTGGGTAGTGAGGGGTGTGTGAGAGGGAGATGAGGGTCAGGGGTTAAGGGGAGCTGGTGGACAGGCGACCACATGCACCGCATGGCTCTGATGGGGTAGTGAGGGGTGTGTCGAAAGGAGGTGAGGGTTGCAGGATTTGGGAGGTGCAGGGCCCAGAGTCTATTGGCGACCACATGCACCGCATGGCGCTCATGGCGTTCGTGTTGTCTGGTGTTGAAAGAATCGACAGGGAGAGGTAAGTGCTGGGTAGTGAGGGGTGTGTGAGAGGGAGATGAGGGTCAGGGGTTAAGGGGAGCTGGTGGACAGGCGACCACATGCACCGCATGGCTCTCATGGCGTTCGTGCTGAGTGGTGTGTGAGATAGGGAGATGAGTGCTGAGTGGTGTGTGAGATAGGGAGATGAGTGCTGAGTGGAGTAGAGGGGATTGACAGAGAGAGGTGAGTGCGGGGTAGTGAGGGGTGTGTGAGGGGTGTGTGAGGGGTGTGTGAGGGGTGTGTGAGGGGTGTGTGAGGGGTGTGTGAGGGGTGTGTGAGGGGTGTGTGGAAAGGAGGTGAGGGTTATGGGATTTGGGAGGTGCAGGGCCCTGCCAGAGTCGATAGGCGACCACATGCACCGCATGGCTCTGATGGCGTTCGTGTTGAGTGGAGTAGAGGGGATTGACAGAGAAAGGTTAGTGGGAGGTGTTGAGTAATAGGAATGGAGTGAAGCGGGGAGTGCAGGGGCCAGAGTCTATTGGTGACCACATGCAATGTATGGCGCTGATGGCGTTTGTGCTGAGTGGCGTTTGTGCTGAGTGGCGTTGAGGGGATCGACAGAGAGAGGTGAGTGCTTGCTGGGTATGGGGAATGAGAGGTGTGCTGGCTGATAGACAGATTGATGGTCACTTGCACCGCATGGCGCTGATGGCGTTTGTGCTGAGTGGCGTTGAGGGGATCGACAGAGAGAGGTGAGTGCTTGCTGGGTATGGGGAATGAAAGGTGTGCTGGCTGATAGACAGATTGATGGTCACTTGCACCGCATGGCGCTGATGGCGTTTGTGCTGAGTGGCGTTGAGGGGATCGACAGAGAAAGGTGAGTCACAGGGCTGTGTAGTGGGAATAGAATGACAAGGAAGGATGGGCAAGGGGCAGATGGGTAAATGGCTAGGAGACCACATGCACCGCATGCCGCTCATGGCGTTTGTGCTGGGTTGAGTGGAACAGGTAAATAGAAAGAGGTGGGTTGGAGGAGAGAGGGGGGTTGAGTGGGGGGCAGGAATGCGGGAGTGATGGGAGATAAATTGGAGAGGATTGGAAGGGAGGTGAAGTGGGGATCAGAAGCGGATAGGAGTCAGCAGGAGATGAGATTCTATTACTGATGGCCTGTGTGTGTGTGTGCGTGTGCGTGTGCGCGCGCGTGTGTGTGTGTGTGTGTGTGTGTGTGCGCGCGCGCGTGCGTGTGCGTGTGTGCGTGTGTGTGTGCGTGTGCGTGTGCGCGCGCGTGTGTGTGTGTGTGTGTGTGTGTGCGTGTGTGTGTGCGTGTGTGTGTGTGTGTGCATGTGCGTGTGTGTGTGTGTGTGCATGTGCGTGTGTGTTGTGTGTGCATGTGCGTGTGTGTGTGTGTGTGTGCATGTGCGTGTGTGTTGTGTGTGTTTGTGTGTGTGTGTGTGTACCACGTGTGTCTGTGTGTGTGCCACGTGTGTGTCTGTGTATGTACCACGTGTGTCTGTGTGTGTACCACGTGTGTCTGTGTGTGTACCACTTGTGTCTGTGTGTGCCACGAGTGTGTCTGTGTGCCACGTGTACATATCCGCCTTGTGTGCATATCAACAGATGCATCAAAATGGCAATTGTGCATGATGTGGCAGAAGGTACGCACTCAACCCCTCTCAACCCCTTTCCACCTGCACTCAACCCCTCTCCACCTGCCATCCCCCTCTGAAAATCCCTCAAATACTCCTCACTTCCCCCGTTCACAACAAACAACCCCCCTCGCGTCCCCCTCCTGCCCCCTCCTCCCTTCCCCCCCATTCCCTTAAGAAGTCTCTCGTCTCTTCTCGTCTGCCACATCCTCTCTTCACAACCCTTCACACACCGTCCCTTTTGAGTCGACTCAAAAGTCTTCTCGTCTGCCACATCCTCTCTTCACAACCCTTCACACACCGTCCCTTCCCGACTCTCCCGTGCAGCAATAGCGGGTGACATCACACCGTCGTGCGGAGTGGGCAAGGAGGAGAAGATGCGCGACCCTCTCCTCTCACACCCCCCTTGCTCCCCTCTCTCTGTCCAGCAATAGCGGGTGACATCACACCGTCGTGCGGAGTGGGCAAGGAGGAGAAGATGCGCGACCCTCTCCTCTCACACCCCCCTTGCTCCCCTCTCTCTGTCCAGCAATAGCGGGTGACATCACACCGTCGTGCGGAGTGGGCAAGGAGGAGAAGATGCGCGACCCTCTCCTCTCACACCCCCCTTGCTCCCCTCTCTCTGTCCAGCAATAGCGGGTGACATCACACCGTCCTGCGGAGTGGGTGAGGAGGAGAATCACCGAATGGAGAGGGAGGCTCTGAGGCAAAGAGGCAAGGGTTCTTCCACTCTCACACACCCCCACCTTTGTCCCTTGCAGCAATAGCGGGTGACATCACACCGTCATGCGGAGTGGGCAAGGAGGAGAAGCACCAAATGGAGAGGGATGCTCTTGAGAAGATGTGTGCCGCACTGGGCCCCAACCGCAAGGCGGCAGGTGAGGGATAGAAGGGGCACTTTCCTATGTGTCGTGTGGAGTGGGTAAGGAGGAGAAGCACCGAATGGAGAGGGACGGATTTGAGAAGATGTGTGCCGCACTGGGCCCCAACCGCAAGGCAGCAGGTGAGGGATAGAAGGGGCACTTTCCTATGTGTCGTGTGGAGTGGGTAAGGAGGAGAAGCACCGAATGGAGAGGGACGGATTTGAGAAAATGTGTGCCGCACTGGGCCCCAACCAAAAGGCGGCAGGTGAGGGATAGAAGGGGCGTTTTTATCTGTGTCGTGTGGAGTGGATAAGGAGGAGAAGCATCAAATGGAAAGGGACGCTCTGGGGCAGATGTGTGCTGCCCTGGGCTCAAACCAAAAGGCAGCAGGTGAGTGTTTCGAGGGGCAGGTGCGGGATTGAAGCAGGAAAAAGAGGTTCACGTCGAGATTCAAAGCTTCAAATGGAGAGGGTCGCCCTGGGGCAGATGTGCGCTGCTCTAGGTCCCAACCACAAGGCAGCAGGTGAGTGTTACGAGGAGTAACATTAGCAGGTTCACATGCGTATCTGCTGTAACAAGAGCATCGCATGGGGAGGGAGGCTCTGGGGCAGATGTGCGCTGCTCTAGGCCCCAACCACAAGGCAGGTGAGGGCGATGAGAGGAGCAGCTGAAGCAGTAAATACCATCTGCATCTGTCCTCCTCCTTCCCCTCCCCCTCCTGCCCCCGCAACCCTTCCACCAGCCGAGATGCTCGCTCTGTGGGAGTAGTATGAAGCCAACGAGACAAACGAGGCCCATCGTTTTCCCCCTACCTTCCACTCTTCTTTCCCTCCCACCTGCTTCCCCCCGTTCCCCTTCCAACACCAGCTGAGATGCTCGCTCTCTGGGAGGAGTATGAAGCCAACGAGACAAACGAGGCCCATCCGTCTCCGCTCTTCCTTCCACTCCTCTTCCCCCCTCTCCCTGTTTCCTCCCAACTCCCCTCACCAGCTGAGATGCTCGCTCTCTGGGAGGAGTATGAAGCCAACGAGACAAACGAGGCCCATCCGTCTCCGCTCTTCCTTCCACTCCTCTTCCCCCCTCTCCCTGTTTCCTCCCAACTCCCCTCACCAGCTGAGATGCTCGCTCTCTGGGAGGAGTATGAAGCCAACGAGACAAACGAGGCCCATCCGTCTCCGCTCTTCCTTCCACTCCTCTTCCCCCCTCTCCCTGTTTCCTCCCAACTCCCCTCACCAGCTGAGATGCTCGCTCTCTGGGAGGAGTATGAAGCCAACGAGACAAACGAGGCCCATCCGTCTCCGCTCTTCCTTCCACTCCTCTTCCCCCCTCTCCCTGTTTCCTCCCAACTCCCCTCACCAGCTGAGATGCTCGCTCTCTGGGAGGAGTATGAAGCCAACGAGACAAACGAGGCCCATCCGTCTCCGCTCTTCCTTCCACTCCTCTTCCCCCCTCTCCCTGTTTCCTCCCAACTCCCCTCACCAGCTGAGATGCTCGCTCTCTGGGAGGAGTATGAAGCCAACGAGACAAACGAGGCCCATCCGTCTCCGCTCTTCCTTCCACTCCTCTTCCCCCCTCTCCCTGTTTCCTCCCAACTCCCCTCACCAGCTGAGATGCTCGCTCTCTGGGAGGAGTATGAAGCCAACGAGACAAACGAGGCCCATCCGTCTCCGCTCTTCCTTCCACTCCTCTTCCCCCCTCTCCCTGTTTCCTCCCAACTCCCCTCACCAGCTGAGATGCTCGCTCTCTGGGAGGAGTATGAAGCCAACGAGACAAACGAGGCCCATCCGTCTCCGCTCTTCCTTCCACTCCTCTTCCCCCCTCTCCCTGTTTCCTCCCAACTCCCCTCACCAGCTGAGATGCTCGCTCTCTGGGAGGAGTATGAAGCCAACGAGACAAACGAGGCCCATCCGTCTCCGCTCTTCCTTCCACTCCTCTTCCCCCCTCTCCCTGTTTCCTCCCAACTCCCCTCACCAGCTGAGATGCTCGCTCTCTGGGAGGAGTATGAAGCCAACGAGACAAACGAGGCCCATCCGTCTCCGCTCTTCCTTCCACTCCTCTTCCCCCCTCTCCCTGTTTCCTCCCAACTCCCCTCACCAGCTGAGATGCTCGCTCTCTGGGAGGAGTATGAAGCCAACGAGACAAACGAGGCCCATCCGTCTCCGCTCTTCCTTCCACTCCTCTTCCCCCCTCTCCCTGTTTCCTCCCAACTCCCCTCACCAGCTGAGATGCTCGCTCTCTGGGAGGAGTATGAAGCCAACGAGACAAACGAGGCCCATCCGTCTCCGCTCTTCCTTCCACTCCTCTTCCCCCCTCTCCCTGTTTCCTCCCAACTCCCCTCACCAGCTGAGATGCTCGCTCTCTGGGAGGAGTATGAAGCCAACGAGACAAACGAGGCCCATCCGTCTCCGCTCTTCCTTCCACTCCTCTTCCCCCCTCTCCCTGTTTCCTCCCAACTCCCCTCACCAGCTGAGATGCTCGCTCTCTGGGAGGAGTATGAAGCCAACGAGACAAACGAGGCCCATCCGTCTCCGCTCTTCCTTCCACTCCTCTTCCCCCCTCTCCCTGTTTCCTCCCAACTCCCCTCACCAGCTGAGATGCTCGCTCTCTGGGAGGAGTATGAAGCCAACGAGACAAACGAGGCCCATCCGTCTCCGCTCTTCCTTCCACTCCTCTTCCCCCCTCTCCCTGTTTCCTCCCAACTCCCCTCACCAGCTGAGATGCTCGCTCTCTGGGAGGAGTATGAAGCCAACGAGACAAACGAGGCCCATCCGTCTCCGCTCTTCCTTCCACTCCTCTTCCCCCCTCTCCCTGTTTCCTCCCAACTCCCCTCACCAGCTGAGATGCTCGCTCTCTGGGAGGAGTATGAAGCCAACGAGACAAACGAGGCCCATCCGTCTCCGCTCTTCCTTCCACTCCTCTTCCCCCCTCTCCCTGTTTCCTCCCAACTCCCCTCACCAGCTGAGATGCTCGCTCTCTGGGAGGAGTATGAAGCCAACGAGACAAACGAGGCCCATCCGTCTCCGCTCTTCCTTCCACTCCTCTTCCCCCCTCTCCCTGTTTCCTCCCAACTCCCCTCACCAGCTGAGATGCTCGCTCTCTGGGAGGAGTATGAAGCCAACGAGACAAACGAGGCCCATCCGTCTCCGCTCTTCCTTCCACTCCTCTTCCCCCCTCTCCCTGTTTCCTCCCAACTCCCCTCACCAGCTGAGATGCTCGCTCTCTGGGAGGAGTATGAAGCCAACGAGACAAACGAGGCCCATCCGTCTCCGCTCTTCCTTCCACTCCTCTTCCCCCCTCTCCCTGTTTCCTCCCAACTCCCCTCACCAGCTGAGATGCTCGCTCTCTGGGAGGAGTATGAAGCCAACGAGACAAACGAGGCCCATCCGTCTCCGCTCTTCCTTCCACTCCTCTTCCCCCCTCTCCCTGTTTCCTCCCAACTCCCCTCACCAGCTGAGATGCTCGCTCTCTGGGAGGAGTATGAAGCCAACGAGACAAACGAGGCCCATCCGTCTCCGCTCTTCCTTCCACTCCTCTTCCCCCCTCTCCCTGTTTCCTCCCAACTCCCCTCACCAGCTGAGATGCTCGCTCTCTGGGAGGAGTATGAAGCCAACGAGACAAACGAGGCCCATCCGTCTCCGCTCTTCCTTCCACTCCTCTTCCCCCCTCTCCCTGTTTCCTCCCAACTCCCCTCACCAGCTGAGATGCTCGCTCTCTGGGAGGAGTATGAAGCCAACGAGACAAACGAGGCCCATCCGTCTCCGCTCTTCCTTCCACTCCTCTTCCCCCCTCTCCCTGTTTCCTCCCAACTCCCCTCACCAGCTGAGATGCTCGCTCTCTGGGAGGAGTATGAAGCCAACGAGACAAACGAGGCCCATCCGTCTCCGCTCTTCCTTCCACTCCTCTTCCCCCCTCTCCCTGTTTCCTCCCAACTCCCCTCACCAGCTGAGATGCTCGCTCTCTGGGAGGAGTATGAAGCCAACGAGACAAACGAGGCCCATCCGTCTCCGCTCTTCCTTCCACTCCTCTTCCCCCCTCTCCCTGTTTCCTCCCAACTCCCCTCACCAGCTGAGATGCTCGCTCTCTGGGAGGAGTATGAAGCCAACGAGACAAACGAGGCCCATCCGTCTCCGCTCTTCCTTCCACTCCTCTTCCCCCCTCTCCCTGTTTCCTCCCAACTCCCCTCACCAGCTGAGATGCTCGCTCTCTGGGAGGAGTATGAAGCCAACGAGACAAACGAGGCCCATCCGTCTCCGCTCTTCCTTCCACTCCTCTTCCCCCCTCTCCCTGTTTCCTCCCAACTCCCCTCACCAGCTGAGATGCTCGCTCTCTGGGAGGAGTATGAAGCCAACGAGACAAACGAGGCCCATCCGTCTCCGCTCTTCCTTCCACTCCTCTTCCCCCCTCTCCCTGTTTCCTCCCAACTCCCCTCACCAGCTGAGATGCTCGCTCTCTGGGAGGAGTATGAAGCCAACGAGACAAACGAGGCCCATCCGTCTCCGCTCTTCCTTCCACTCCTCTTCCCCCCTCTCCCTGTTTCCTCCCAACTCCCCTCACCAGCTGAGATGCTCGCTCTCTGGGAGGAGTATGAAGCCAACGAGACAAACGAGGCCCATCCGTCTCCGCTCTTCCTTCCACTCCTCTTCCCCCCTCTCCCTGTTTCCTCCCAACTCCCCTCACCAGCTGAGATGCTCGCTCTCTGGGAGGAGTATGAAGCCAACGAGACAAACGAGGCCCATCCGTCTCCGCTCTTCCTTCCACTCCTCTTCCCCCCTCTCCCTGTTTCCTCCCAACTCCCCTCACCAGCTGAGATGCTCGCTCTCTGGGAGGAGTATGAAGCCAACGAGACAAACGAGGCCCATCCGTCTCCGCTCTTCCTTCCACTCCTCTTCCCCCCTCTCCCTGTTTCCTCCCAACTCCCCTCACCAGCTGAGATGCTCGCTCTCTGGGAGGAGTATGAAGCCAACGAGACAAACGAGGCCCATCCGTCTCCGCTCTTCCTTCCACTCCTCTTCCCC